TTCAAGGTCCAAACTCACTAATTTTGTTAATGAACTCGAGGTGAAGGTGAATGACTTGACTCCTTCGGTAAACTTCAATGAGTTTTTGGACTGCTTCAATGAAACACTTGATAAACACTGTAAGCTTGATGAGCCAAAAGTTACCAAAAGGACTCCCAAACTCAACCGTGGATTACCGATGGAATCATTGTCTCAGTTGAAAGAAAACATGAACTCTGTAGAGACTGGTCAAGCACTGTAACAAATAGAAACCCTGAGGGTAATGTACTGCTCTATAAAGTCTTCAGTGACTACCGAAGAATGCTTAAAAGTATTATCAAGGTCGCCAAACGATCGTACTACTGCAATGAAATCTATAAAAACATAGAAAACAGCAAAAAAACGTGGCAGATAATCAATGAGCTCAGGGGCAAGAAAAAGAAGCAAACTAAGCCTCCCTTTATCATAAACAACGAACGAATCATGAATCGTAGAGTCATAGCCAATGGATTCAACTCTTACTTTGTTTCTATTGCCCCTAAGCTCAATGAAACACTTAGTAGCAGTGAGGCCTCTGGTTTACCAATTCTCCCTATAAAAACATTCTATGATTTCCTTGGAAAGAAAAATGAAAAATCGATTATGTTAGAAGACTGTACACCTAATGAGATAAAATGGAAAAGCAAGTGATATTCCTGTTAGTGTAATCAAAAGATCATCTCACGTAATTACACCGATCCTTAGTCGATACATCAACATCTTAATGTCCAATGGCACGTTCCCCGACGTTCTAAAGACTGGTAGAATAACTCCTGTATTTAAGAAGGGAAACCCTGAAGAGATAGAAAACTACCGCCCAATCTCTACTCTCTCTATATTTGGTAAAATCTTTGAAAAGATCATTTACTCAAGAATATATTCGTTTGTTAGCTCACAGGGTATAATATCTAAATCACAATTTGGCTTCAGGCAGTCACACTCTACTTCACATGCAGTTAATTACTCAGTAAACCTTATAACTGAATCTCTAAAACTTAAGCATCATGTCTTAGGCATATTCATAGACCTTAGCAAAGCTTTTGATACAATAGATCATGGTACATTACTTGTAAAATTACAGGGCTATGGGATACGTGGGGTGGCAAATAATCTTATAAAAAGTTACTTAACAAATAGATCACAATATACTGAAGTGGTTGGTGAGAAATCTGACGCCTTGAAAATACAGTTTGGAGTCCCCCAGGGTTCGATTCTCGGACCTCTCTTATTTCTCCTATATATGAATGATATCGCCAACTGCTCCAGTCTGGGATCATTTTTCACCTTCGCTGATGACACCAATATATTTGTGACTGGGAAATCTAAAAAGGAGGCACATATGCGTGGTAATTCTCTTTTAGCTAGTTTATCTTCCTACATGCGAGCAAACAAACTCCATGTCAACATGTCTAAATGCTGTTTCATTCACTTTAAACCAGCATCGTCCTCCCAGACTGACAATAATTCTGAATATACCCTAACCATTGATAACTTTCCAATAAAACAAGTTGCATCTGCTAAGTTTCTGGGAGTCGTCATCGACGAAAAGCTGACCTGGGAAGAACACATAAAATCACTTAGGCGTTCTCTCAGCCATGCAACATCAACTCTCTGCCGCCTACGCTGCTCCCTCCCAGATTTCTTACACCGCCAGTTGTATTACACTCTATTTGAATCACACCTCTCCTATTGTATCACGGTTTGGGGTGGGGCAGCCAACACTCATATAAGTTCTGTATTCAAAGCGCAAAAATATTGTCTCAGGGTACTGTTTGGCGACAGGGAGGCATACCTAGATAAATTTAAGACCTGTGCTCGTGCTCGACCGTTTGAAAACCAAAATCTGAACAAAAAATTTTTCTTGAAAGAGCACACCAAACCTTTGTTCAAGGAACACGGAATACTTGCCGTCCAAAACCTGTACAGTTGCCACTGTTTTCTTGAGCTCTATAAAATCATGAAATTCCGTGCTCCGATTTCCCTCCATGAAAATTTCACCTGCTCAAGTAGGAAACCCACCCTTATACTAAGCCAAGCAGACCCCCCTGACAACTTCAATAGCAGAACGACTCGTATTTGGAACGTAATTGTGCCTAAGCTTGGTATACGTGACTACTGTCTGAGTGTGGCCTGCCTGAAGTCTAGGATGAAGCAATCACTGCTCTTCAACCAGCATAACCATGCTGATCTTGATTGGACAAACAAAGATTTCGAATGCTCTAATTTAAATTTTGACACCAAGTCTACCCTAGGGTCCACACATCCAAAATGATTATCTTGAAATTGAAAATTAGCTGGGTGGCATTTTCCTTTGCCTTACTAACGTGTGTGAGCGCAGTGTAGTGAGAAAGTGTTTTTAACTTACGATTATGATTTATGATTTTTTAACTATTACATTGATAAGATTTATTTTTGATAGGTACTTAATAAAGTTGATGAATTCCCCTCCCTATTAAAATTTTAAAAATATTTAGTGAAAATTGATTAACGAAGATCTAGATATTGATACATATTATAACCAACATTGCTTATCCTCTGCCTTGTTAACAAAGAGCAAATTTTCTTAATGCCTTCTCCCTGTCCTAAAACCAAAACTTCATCCTATTAAAGTAAAGGCCTGTTGTTACCACAAGCTATTATACAGTCCCTCTCAAAAACATGCCTCAACCTCCATCAAAAACAATTTTAGTTTTCAGTCCTTCTAGTTTCCAAAAATGTACCGAGCTAGTGTTCTGGTGTGCACAAAAGCCCCTAAGCCCGTGCATTCCTTGCCCCGCTAGCTGCCAGTCCTTGGCAAACTTCCAATAGCAAAGATCAACTAGTCGTTTACAAATTGAGCACTATACAATTTTAATTGTTTTAAATATTTGACTTTGTAAAATGAGCTAAAACATTGATTTTATTAGTTTCATTGATTTTATTAGTTTCATTGAGTTTGCGCGGCGCGTCGAAGTCCTCCAAGCAAAAACAGTCAATTACAACCAAACTTTGCTTTTATTTTGGCGACGTTTGACTACAACTGATCATATTTATATTTTAAAACAACGTTTGAGCGAAAATTTAGTCTCAGCTCAGTTGTTGTGCACCCCGTACCCCCTTTATTTGTATTACGTCGTGACCCCACGGTCGTTTCACTATAGAAATCAAATCAAATCAAAATATAATGACACAACCATCATCACACATCATTAAAAATATATCTACTAAAGTTTAAAAATTATCTTAAATCTATTGGCCTAGACAACCAAGTTAAAATGAATCTAATTTACATACTTTCCACTACTATATACAGTTTCTACGATACAGGGGGAGCCGCGCACTCGTGCGCGGCGGGTCATACAACGTATGACAAACTAACATAATACCAGAATGAAACTAATAATAGTTATGTTCTTCTTTATTACATAACCTTGTAGGTTTATAATCTTCCAAGTACACCGGGTTTGACTCGTCGACGGTCTTGCAACCCCTTTTCGTGCGCGAAAAGGGGATGAAAAGTGTGTCAAGGTCAATTTTATATTACATTGATAGTCTTCAATTTTAAAACACAAACCTTGCTGAGTTGAACCTGGCATAATTTCGTGACTGCTCATGCTGTTGTTCTCTAAAAATATTGATTCGAAAAATCTGATGGGACTTCTCAATTGAGTGAATCAGTAGTTTATTGGCAATTTGACATACGTTGCATGCCACTTTTCGCGCGCGAAGCGCGCGCCGCCGAAGGGGATACGAAACATGTATCAATTGGCAATCAACAGTCGACCTCTGGTGGAATGGGTGGTGAAGCTGAGAGACTGGTCAAGAAGCTGGCCAGTAAGATGGAGTACCACACTGGCCAGAGGTACTCAGACGCTGTAGGATACATAAGAAAGCGCCTTCGCTTTGAAATCCTCAGAACAACAGTGATTTCTCTCCGTGGAGACAGAGGTGCGAGAAAAAACATCGTTGATATAAACAGTCTAGATCTTAACTTGGAGCCACAAGGCCAAGGGTAAAAAAATTTTTGATTGTTAAGGGAATTTTTTGAATTCTTAAAGGGTTGATTTTATATAGGGTCATTGCTATATTATGTGTATATTGTTTGAATATTTTACTACTAAGTCTAGTAGTAGTGTACTGCTTATATTACTTTCTGTGCACCGTTGTGGGATCCATCTGCTGCTCAGATCTTGATATTTTGTGAATTATCCTTGAGTTGGAGGCTGTCCATTGCCGGTTCTCATGGTTAATCAAGGGTAAAGCGATCAATGGATCACCAAAGACCTTTTTCTATTTGGCTATTATTATTATATCTGTTGTGCATTGTGGCCCACTTCATCGACAAGCCCTAAATGTAGTTTATATTTGGTTATTTATCTGGGCTGTTTTGCCCCCTGCTGGAAACAGCTCTGTAGTGAGTGAGAAATAATCTCTCGGCTACTTTAGCTGAAGCAGGATCTCAATTTATTGAAACTCATCAGATTATTTATGAGCGTGCCAAATCAGTCTACAGTAAATCTTCGAGGTTGTTCTAAAAGGGCCCCGACAGTTTAAACCAACTTGAATCGATGTGTTTTCGTACGCTGATTCAGAATCACCCCTATGACATAGGATTAAAATGTTCCTCTGGCGAGATATTGGCGAAAACTGTCTCGATCACGTGATATGACCTATAAGGAAGTTAGTCTAATTTCTCGTTAGGGTTTCAGCATATGCTTTTGTGAAGGAATGGGTTAGGGTTAAGGTTTCGAATAGGCATTTTAAAAAGTCAAGTGACAGTCGAGTGTAGAGTCGAGTGTAGAGTAAAACATCAATCATATTACAAATATATAATCCAGTAAATTTCCAGTTTTGATGTCACAGTTAAGGAATTAGGCCTTGTAAATTACACACAGATTTAAAGAGGTCCTTTCAGTTAATGTAAATCTATTGTATTTCATTATTATAATTATGTGACTACTTTCCAAATTAATAATAATGATTTTTTCTAATCGAATCAATAATTTAGGTACAAATGCGAGAGGTAAATTTGTAGCTTAAACGATGTCATTATTTGACCCCGTACCTCCTGCCGAGGTAAAGAAAAGCCAACTATGCACTCGACCAGCACTTGTTCGAGGTTCAGATGGCAAGAAAAAGGTATCTATTTCACACTTCAATGCTCTTCTCGTAGGGTTCTCTTCATGCAGATTGTAGTAGTTACTTTGTCTTAAAACCAATAAGCTTATGGGAGAATTTTTTTCCTGTGCCTATTTCATATTATAATATAAAACATGAAATGAGATCTCACCTTTACTGTTTGTTGTTTGGAATAACCTTAAACTTATTTCAGATAAAGCCATCTGCTTATTTCAAGATCACATCTCTAAGCACAGACCAAAGGTTGCTGCAGACCAAGGATATGCGTCTCCCCAAGATAATCCAACTACTGGACATATCAGCCTTTTCAAATATCAAAGATACACAATTAGCGATTGATGAGCCGCTGTTTCAACCATTCCCTTCTGAGCTCCACTTTCAAAGATTTGTTCCCTGCCAATCATATGAACTTCCATTGTCGTTGCGAAACAATGATAAAGTTGCCAGAGCAGTTAGAGTTTCTCAAGTCGAGTCACCTTACTTTGAAATTATCACACCCCCAAATGCTAGTGCAAAGGTTGCTCCAGGAATTGATATCACTTTCACGATAAAGTTTATGCCAACTGAGCAAAAAGACTATTATCATGAGATAGTAGTTTCAACTGAAAGGGAAAAGTTTTTAGTCCCAGTACATTGTATGGGATCAAGGGCTGTGCTTGATTTTCCTGACACTGTTGACTTTGGCACACAACCTGTGAAACACGAGTCCACAAAAACTCTACTGATACGAAATGTAGGTAGCAGAGAAGCTAGGTTCTCATTCAAGGTTACAGATCCATACTCTGTGAAGCCAACTCATGGATCTCTTGGTATTGGTGGATCCATGCAAGTTCACATCAGCTATAATCCATCTGTTACTGGTTCTCAGATGCAAGACATGGTCCTACAATACGACACAGGTAAACATCTTTACAATTACATAACTATTTAATTTTGAGAATTTGTTCACTTTAGAAGCATTATTTTGTATCATAAACTTTCTGACAGTTTCTTCAAATTTATCACAACGTGCTGTTGTTAAAATTATTAAATAGTGACATAATTTTAGGTGAGGATGTGTCAATTGCCTTGTGTGGAAATGCCACAGACGCTAATGTCAGACTGGAAAAGACTATGCTGAAGTTGGAGACTACGTACATAACGATGTCCACTCAAAAGGCAATCACCATTCACAACCGGAGCAACATTGTCGTTCACTATCAGTGGAAGAAGTTCGCAACTCTTGCAGAAGAGCACAACACAAAGGATGTGTAAGTTAACTTGTTAGTTCCTGTCTACCGATCTTGGTGGTGATTAATGAAAAACGCAATTTGTACTGTGAATTTATTCAAGTTGCAGCGAATTTGAAATAACTATAACAGTAACACAAATGATTATGCTGCTATTGGAGCTAGGCCATGCACAAAGTTAAGAAGTAAGAGTGCAAGTGTGATACCAAACCCTCAGCATCAATAAAGTTTTATTCCAGGTGTTTTACAGACTTGGAAAAGGATGAGGAAGACGAGATGCAGGCGTTTATAAACCAGTGCATCATTAACCCAACTAAGAGACATGAAATGTCTCTGATAACTAGATCGTATCACAACAAGAAGTCCGCTGTGAATGATGATAACATGCTCTTCTCAGATGATATCATTGTGTTGGAGCCAATGTCTGGAGAGATATGGCCCAACTCTTCTACCACTATTACAGTCATGTTCAAACCAGAAGCAGCTCAAAACTACACTCGAATGGCATATTGTGACATTACTGGAAGAGAAACGAGATTGCCACTCAAGATTGTCGGTGATGGTTTGGGGCCTAAAGCCATATTCTCTTGTGATTCGATCGACATTGGTAATGTTTTCATCGGATCACGACACTCGTATGAAGTTATACTTGAGAACAAAGGTGACATACCGATCGATTTCAATTTGATACAGCCGGAGTCGATATTTGGCCCTCTCTTTAACTTCTACCCGAGCGAAGGAAAGATTGCAGTCGGAGAATTGCAACTGATCAAGATAGTTTTCTCTTCTCACATTTTGGGAACATTCACGGAAACTTTCAAGTTTGCTATAAGAGGAGCACCCGACACATTGGCGCTACGTGTACATGGAACCGTGATCGGACCAACATTCCACTTTGACACAAACTGTATCAAGTTTGGAAATGTCAGCTACGGTTTCGTGAACTCAAAGATAATCACGCTCTCCAACACCTCTGATATCGTGATGAGATATAGGATACGTATCCCGGATGATGTGCACGGGAAACACGTGCCCGGTGATAAGAAAGGTTATTGTGGAGCAAACGAGTTCGATATAGCTCCGTGTGAGGGTGTCCTGAATCCGGGACACGAACAGAGACTCCAAGTAGACTTTGTTCCGACCAATATTGGCAGATACGATAAACAGCTCGTGGTGGATGTTCACGGGGTTGGGGAGGCCATTCTATCAGTTCCTCTTACAGCTAAGTAAGTTGCTCAGCGTAAGCTTTGACACTTAAATAATGGTTCATTTTAGTTTCCGTTATTTCTATATAGAAATAATCACCATAAATTAACCACACGTAAAGTTACAGGCCAACAAATGATATATCCACCAAACCCCTCTGAAAAGTATATCCACCATTATTAGCCCTGATTTAAATGCGTGTATCTCTGCTCATAGACATAGTAGACATTTTATTCTTTTTGTAAAAGTTGAACTATCGCAAATCCTCTGCTGAAAAAAAGTTTAATCAAAATATTGAGTTTATCCACCAAATGAGAGCTTCTAGAAGTTGAAATTTTTCCCGTGACAGATTCGTTAACATAGTTTTTGAAAGTGCCCTATACTAGTCTTTAAATGCTCTTACACGATATCACAAGTAAATAATAGGAGACGTACACTGTACAGGGTATTTCAGTTCTAACAATTCACTTTTTAGATGTATCGTGCCTGCAATTGAATTGACTACACAAGATCTAGACTTCAAAAGGACGTTTATCCACCACCACTACACTCTGAAAGCGATACTCAAGAACCCTGACGACCACCCAGCTAAGTACGAGATCCTGGACACTGAGGGCGAAGATCAGAACGGAATAAAATTCTCCAGTTCCTGTCCAAAGAGTGTAATCCAGCCTCACTCCACTATAGAAGTGCCTATAACTATTGAAGCAACCAGACTGGATGATCTTCACAGGTCTATATTCTTCAAGATTATTGGCTCACAGCAGTCTCCCCTGGAGTTATCTTTATACTGTGTGGGAGAGGGACCTGTACTGAGTATTAGCACACCTCAGATTGACTTTGGAGTGATTGGTGTCTTGAAGAGAACCTCCCTGCCATTAGTTCTCACTAACGAGAGTAGCATTCCTGCTAACTTTGAGTGTGTTCTCGAACGTGCAGTAAGTTGTTATTGTATCTTCTGAACACTTTGACAGGAATTTAACATCACAAAACGTATGATCATGTATTATATGAGATGCACAACTTTATATCAACTTAATGAGTTAAATAAACAATAATATTGACCTGTAAAATGTGTTTCTACAGAACCCAGCGTACAAAGTGACACCCCGCACTGGAACACTGGAACCACAACAGAAACTAGAACTGGACGTGTCAGTCTACTTAAGTGACAACGTGAGGTTCAGTGACAATCTGACAATTCTCGTGGAGGACAGTTCCAGTCACTCTATCTCTCTGGTGGCTGCCGGACAAGGTCCCACCATCGTGGCTTCTCCGGAGATTAGCCCTGTCATGGATCTGGGTCCTCTGTTTTCTTCTAGACCTGTTTACTACAGGTTAGCTGTTATTATCATGAAATGTTCATAATGTTTATACTTTTCAACTCTCTTGTTCCCTATTTCGCTTTCTTACTATTTGTGAATTTTCAACTTCATTTCAGGTTCCAACTGCAGAACAAAGGCAAACGTCGACAAGTACTTTATTGGACTGTAGATGGAATTAAACCTACCAAAAAGCATAACGTTAAACTTGCCAAGGTAAACTTGGTCACTCTTTTAATTAGCTCATATTACATAGCTGTTAATTCCATTAATTATTACTCCTCCAAACTTCATCTGACCAGTAACACAAAACTAAAACCTAACATTGCAGCTTCCCCAGGAGCCGGCCCCACCACGTCCCACCTTCACAGTGAGCCCCAACAAGTTGGTTATTGAACCTAATAGCACCGAGGAGATCACCATTCACGGGTTCTCTAGCACTGCTGGAGCTGTCAAACAGAAGTTACTCTGTCAGGTGACTATCCCACTTCTTCTGAATGTCAAACATTGTTGTTTTATTAAAATTAGACCAAATAATTGTAATGTTCAAGATGGTATTCTTTACAAATTTCAACATTATTTCGTCAGGCACTCATTGGGAAAAGTACCAGCAAGGAAACGGTGTACAAAGTTGATTTGTTCGCTCAGTTCATTGATCCTTTCCTCAGCTTCTCTGAAAAGAGTTTAGCTTTTACAATTCTCAAGGTTAGAATCGATAAATCCAATTCAGCTGACTGTTAGATAATGATGTGTGAAATTTTTTAAAAACATATAAACAATCATACTAAACTGCATACTGTATAAAAACCAAAAAGTCTTGTAAATAAGAAAGTCAGCCTGACACACAGTTTGATTCCAGGGCCCCAGTGATAGATTAGAGCGAGTAGAGCAGCCTCTACAAATGATAAATGTCAGCACTCTGCCCCTGACTGTCAAACTGATGCTGAACTATCCCTTCTTGCTGTGCTTGAACAACGGAGATGAAACTGAGGAGACAACTGTTCATCTTCAGAGCAACGAGGCCCTCAAGGTAGGATGGATTACAGATATAGTAGAATAGCCCAGGCCTTTGAAAAACAGCGGTTTTGTTATCAAATGAAGGTTTACAAGTCTGTGATAATACATATAAGAAAAGTTTGATCTTTACCTTTCTATTTCAGGTGAGAGTACAGTTTGATCCATCCTACAAAGAAGAAGACTGGATCTGTAGGTCCCACACCTCCCAACTGACTATCACGTACAAGGAGCACCCCCACATAGACTACATCAACCTAATGGGGGAGGTGGTCTTCCCTAATCTCAAGTTCGAGGATCAGACCATTGATTTTGGGTGCATCTTGAACGACACTGAGATGTCCAAATATGTGACTGTTACTAATACTTCCAGACTTACTGTTAACTACGAGTGGTATTTCAACATTCGGAAACAAGCCGCCTTTTTACCTGGTAGTTAATTTATTCTGTTATTTCTCTTTTTTACATTTTATATAATTTGTGCCATATTCATTGGAAAGCCATCATATTATCCTTAATTTTAAACCGCTTATGATATTCTAACGATAATTCTCATCAGAATTCAGCACACCCTATCCTACAGTCACCCACTTTGCTCTCTCCACCACACCTGATAACAGTGTCTCAATACCTTTACACGCTGGATCGCGCTCAAACACACCCGTCACATCCGTCACCCCACGCTTCACCACACCCTTGCACACTGACCACACCACGTGCACATCGTGCGCTGATCGCACTACTTGCACTGATAATCTCAACACTGATCACATTTGTCGTCCTCACGCGACTCTCTCGGAAACAGAAACTGCACCCTCAAACTCTCACTCACAGTTGAACTCGCCATGTCATAGTAACCGTATCAAATCCACAGTGAAATTCGTTGACAACGACGCTGTTGTAGAATCTATTAGCGTGAATAACGCTAACATTGAATCTATTGGCGTGGACAGCAACATTCAGGGTGAGGTGGACATCTTAGAGGAAAAGGTACATTTTAAAATAAAATCACGGTCCCCCCCCCCCCCCCCCCCCCCCCCGACCGGGGTGGCAATAATGAGTTTTGTCAGTAATTTACCAGTCCAAGTCTTCTGATATTGATAGTTCTAACTTCTCAATTTCTTTATAATTTATAACTCTGTAATAACTTATTCAGGCAAGTATGTCGTCTGGTTCTCCTTCCAACGGTGAAGGAAGCGATTTAGAAGAGGGTTACATTTCTGAAATAGAAGAAAAGAAAGATCTTGAGAAATCTGTCATCCCTATCGAGCAGGTAGCTTGCGCGGTTCTGACGTTAACCTTAACTGACTTCTTAGGAATTATAACAACTAACATTGATTCAAATAGTGTCAACCTACCACCAATGTAATGAATAATGATAACTTTGTAAGGTTGCTAGAACTTCTCTTTACCAGGTATTTGACATCCTGCCACTTCACGGTACAATAGAGCCAGGAGACAGTCAGACCTTACAGTTCTCTTTCTACGGACATGAGAACTCGGATAATGCGGTGGAGGCTGTATGCCAGGTGGAGGGAGGCCCCAAGTACAAGATACAACTCCGAGGACAGGCAGCACTGGTCCAGTATTCCTTCGACAAACACTTTATCAACTTCGGAGAAGTGGTCAGTTTCAATTGATTGTACATAATATATTGAATTTCGTAATCTATGTTTAAAACGTAGCTATATATGTCTATAATGCCTAATTATTGTCCAAGTTCACCAGTTCAGAGCTGTTTTATTAAAATCTCTTATTTAGAATTATTTCAGCACTACGATCAAATAGCAGTAGCAGAAATTGAACTGTTCAACGAAGGAAGGATCCCACTAGATTACAGCACAATGTCCACATGTGACGGAAGCAAACCGCAGCCAGGCGAGCTTACAGTCACTCCGGTGGAAATGGGGCAAATCCCTCCCTTCTCCAGCCGCAAACTGGTTATCAGATATTACCCGGGTGTACCGGCTAAGTTCGACAAACTCTTCAAAGTGCAAGTAGCTCACTTTGAACCTGATGTGATACAGGTGGTGGGCGAGGGTGTCTTCCCTAGGATCAAGTTAGATCTGCCACGCTACGGAGATCAGGATGGGATGTACGCTGGCTTCCTTACAGAGGCACACGAAGCACTCAATATTGAGGAACCAAATTGTGCACCTTTAGCTCTGAGTGGACGCTCTAAACCGTCAGGCAAAGCTTCATCTAAATATTCTGAATCAGGTCTCAATGCTTCCTTCCCGTCTGAAGATCTGTTGGAGTGTGAGGCTGAGAGACTGATGGTGAAGAGGTTCGCTGAGAATCTCATTGTGGGCCCACAACCTGTGGAACCTGTTAGAGGAAAGAAGAAAAAGCCAAAGTAAGCACACTACGTTTTAAATCATGAATTATTTTCAAACTTCACCAAATAATGTTTTCTTCGAATAAACCAAGGAATTCTATGCCAACTGCGCTAAAATCTAATCTCTTTACCTCCCACAGGGCCCATCTGGCTGACTACTTCCTAGATTTTGGACACGTTGTAGCCGGGAACACATGCTCACAAACACTGAATGTAACCAACAACGGGTTCTTCCCCGTTTCCTTTTCTGTGGACAGATCCGTAATTGTGGGATCTGGTTTCTTCCTTGGTCTGGACCGAGTGAGGCAGCTGCCTCCTGGAGAGACACTCTCTTTTAATGTCACTTTCGATCCTAAGTCTATAGATCAGGGTGTTCATTCTGCAATTGTTCCTTTCAATGTAAGTTTCTAGAATCCAAATTCCAACTTGTCTTGTTAATCTATAACAGTTTTTATATCATAAATACTGTAATAAGTTTACCAGACAAGAAGGATTCCGACCGGATCAGCTTTTTCAGCATCTAGTACTCTAGTAGTTCGTCCGATTAGTTCAAATGATTGAATTTGATGGATTGATAAAAGAATTCTTAGGTAATTAACTTGATATGTTCCTTATCAGATAATAGGAGGGCCGATATTCTCACTGAGAATGCAGGCACACGTGACCATGCCAGACTTGTTCGTCTCGAGTGACACGCTAGACTTCGGAGATGTGAAATGTGGCGAGTGTTGTATTATTACCATACAACTGTTCAACAATAATCAAGTTCCTTGCAGTTGGAATAGTCGACCTAGCAGTGCCGCTAAAAAGAAGGTAAGAGCGAGATAATTCAACATATTCACAAAGTTTAGGCACTAACAATGACACACTGAACTTAATCTCGAATCTACAGAAACTGTTGTCCGCTGATAGAAATGTCGCCCAACTCCAGAATTCATCATATTAAGTTGTAAATCCCATCAGAAAGAACGGATGATCCCGATGTACAGACGAAAGCAAGTTGCCAAGATGGAAAAAGAAGCTCCTCAAGAATTCCAGCTCATTCCATCTTCCGGACATCTTCTACCAGGACAGAGGAAAAATGTGCAAGTCAAGTTTATGCCCCTTGAAGAGGTTAGATCTCCGTTTATAATGATATTATGATTATGATTAGTCCGTAGAATTTGTTAGCTCCTCCTAGTTAAGGTTTATTGGTTTATTTTCCAGCTGTCACATTGATGTAGCTCTTATAACTCTTGTAACTCTTGTATTGAACAGGATTAAAACAGGATTACCCATAAATTTGTCAATGAGAGCCCTAACACTCACGTCTTGACTATACATCAATAGAGAAATAAACAAATAATGTGCAAGAATGTTCTCACAATAAAAATAAAAAAATCATTAAAATTTAACTTCGTCGTGCATCTTTATCGAAAGAGAAACAAGTGCAAATACAATAATCTAAAGTTCCCAATTTTCCAAATTCCCATGTTCCATAATGATATGAATTAGCAAGAAGCAACCGAATATCAACAGTTCAGTGTCATATTAAATTGAAGTTCAACTTATTGGCCGTCACTTATCTTGTATGTTCGATCGGAATTGAATCAGGAGGATGTCACGATCCCAGTTCAATATCTAAATTGTGCTTATCTTTCCTTTCAGACTCGATACATACAGAGGATACCAATCAGAATGTCACAAAGCACCAGAAAAATCACCATGACGGTTATGGGTCACGGAATGGAGCCAAAGCTAGACTTTAACATGGGTCACGTGTCATTTGATCCAATCTTACCACACTCACTGGGTGACGAAAAGGAAGTTGTTGTCAGTAATCCTTGCCCATTTGCTGTTGAGATGTACAGCCTGGAGTTTGATAAGCAGTACTTACAAGAAGAAGAGGTGAGCCAATTTAGATTTAATTATCTTCCCTAAAAAATTTTCGTTGTTTAAAATTCATAGCATTATTCTGAGCTGCATTTCCGCCACTTACCTATAACACCAAATATTTCAGATCTTGAGAGGAACAGCAGGGTATAACGAACAGGGGATGTTGTTATTACCACCTCGCCCAGCAGGAGAGAAACTACCAGAGGAGATAGTCCGGGCGTACGAACCTGACCCTGTTAGTGTTCCAACTCTGGAAGCTGATGAGAGTGTTGATCATCCTGAAGCTGATCCTGCTAATGATAGAGATTCTCAAGGAGTTCCAAGTTAGTGGCTCTTCAAATTCCACTTTGAAGAAAGTGCCGAGTTTATTCAAAATAATAAATACTTTCAGAATTCAGATATCCATATCATCTGCTAAACTTCATAACCATTAACCATATTAAAAATATCACAAAAATTGCTGACAGAACTCACCTTAGCGCCGGGAGTAGGACAAAGAACAGAACCAGTACCCGACATGGCCCCCTCAGTAACCGGGCCAGGAGGCAGGACTTCAGCCGGGGTCACCTCCCGTGTCTCATCTACTGGATCTGCACTAGGACAAGTCGAGGAGGACGCAGACAAAACAACAGGTACTAGAATATATATATTATATAAGTCTGAAGCGCAGACAATAAATTTGATTTTTTAATATTATATAATAAATATATGATTATGAGTTTTGACGGTTGAGATTTTATCACATAATGTTTGTAAACGTTAAGTGAGTACACCTATTTATAAGAGGAATCTGATAGTGGTAACAGGTTGCAGTAACTGGATATCAAGTGTTTTCAGGAGATGGAGTAGGTGATTTAGAGATAACCCCTGCAGCTGCGTCTATAGCGAGGTACCTGGGTATAGATCTCAGTCCTGAGGGGAAAGCAGCTAGGTACAAGAAGGGACTCAACGTCATCATAACTGGACCTCCTCTTAGTGGCAAAACATTCCAAGCCAAGGTTCGTTTAATAAAATTTGCAAAACTATAGTACAACAATTTTTCATATGCTAGCAAGTATCTGATTCTATCACGAACTCATTACATCAAGAACCAAGTTTCAATCTATTAAAAACTCAGGAAATCTCAACGGCTTACAACGCTGCCATCATCGAGTTGGATTCGGTGATCTACGATGCCATCGTCTCTGGGACTCTAGAAGCAGGACTCCGAGCCAGAGAGTTCTGTCACAACGCCAAACAAGCTGCTGCTGAGGAGGATGCTGCTGCTCAATCTGCCATCGACGGCAAGGGGGGTAGGGCCGCTAAGGGCGGAGGTAGGCGTATGTGTAAGTCATTATGATCTCATTATGTTTTCAAACCAAAAAAAGAGCAATCGCGCAAGGCTGATCGCTGTTGCATGTGCTGTTTATATTCCATACGATCAGTCCTCCTCAAATCAAAATTAGACCACCCAAATTGATTCATGGATCCACATTTTAACGGATCAGAAACTTCGTCATCAAACCCTCATCCACAAATTTTAGGTCACAAAATCTTTTCACCGTTTGAAGCAGAAGCACTTTTTGGAGCCCACGTTTACGTTAAAAGCCCGCATGTATAATAATTGTAGATAAGGTTTGTTTATATAATCAGATAGCCTTTTGCTTTGTTTGCAAGCTGAGCTTTGAAAGCCAACAAAGCTGAGTTTCCCCCTAATCCCCCTCAATCCCATGTACAAAACGAACCTTTCAGCCAAAGCTGTTGCCCCTGCGGGTCCACCCAAAGCCGCCGCAGCCGCTCCTAAAGGTGGGGCAACATCCACTACGAAGGAGAGTGTGCAGGCTCCTGCTGATTCTCCTTTGGAGGTGAAGCCTGAGGACGTCACCCCCTTCCCTTGTGCTCTTCCTGACGATATTGTCGCGGAAATCCTAGCCAGCAGGTTCCTCAGACAAATTGTATTTCTTTTTTAACCTTGTCTCAGACCTCAGTTCACTTTATACTAAACATTTAAAGCGTTATTTTGTCAATTGTATAATTTAAATCTATGTTTTTATATGCTCTAGAGTCTAGCTCTCTTCCCCCCAGGTTGAAGTGGTCTGATTGCCAGAACGGTATCGTATTTGATGGATTGAACTGTAAGTGGACTGGTAATGAGGCACAAACAACCCAAGTAGTCCTCAAGGCCTTGGGTAATCGACCATACATCTACACCGTCGACCTCAAGATCACTGAAGACGAGATGATTAACAAGTCAGTGCCCTGGAATAACGTTATTTTTCTTCGAGTCGATCAGCTAATAGGATGTCGAATGTCGATCATTATTGACCTTAACGATTTATAAATGCTTTCAACATTAAACCTTAGCTATAAACCTCGAAACTTGGAGAACTAACGCTAACCTTTAAGGTATATTCTCAGACAAGAAGCAATCGCTGCCGAAGCTGCCCAAAAAGCAAAGGAGAAGCGAATCGCGGAGGAAAAAGAGATAGAAGTAGATTATTTGTCGGAGGATGAGTATGATGCGCTCGAGGAGGAAGAGAAAGCCGTCTATGATCACAAGGTTCCAATAAATGCACGAAAACTAGTTTTTAAATCATTGCATTATTGCTATTTTCACAATCCTGCTGAAATAAAACGTTGCTGATCGTTAATTTCGGTATTTGCTACTCCGCTGTTTTTATTGCTTAGTGCATGCGATTTGTAATGAGACACTGAAGTTTAAACAGGTTATGAAGTTACAGCGGGAGAGACTCCGGAAGGACCGGGAGGCCCATGCTGAGCGTATCAGACGCGAACAGGAGCAGGCTGAACAAGACAAAATAAAGGAAGAAGAGGAGAAGTACGTGTTTTAAAAAAAATTTTGTTTAGAAGAGTAAATAATCTCAGTAGATTTCTACCAAATTATGAGCAGATAATGAAAAATATTCTGTTTAAATGTTGGAAAAGAAATAAGAATGCACAATAATGATAATAATATGTCGTTAACAGGAATACACGACGTAAGAGGGGAGGCAATGCACCTAAGAAGGAGGGTGCAGCTCCAGCTCCTGCCGCCGCTCCAGCACCTGCCAAAGACAGACCTACCACTACTAAAGTAAGTTATAGTATATATCAGGTTATATCTTTATATGTAATTCTCTTACATCTGCTGTCATTATGAACTGTTCAACGTCTTCAAAACTCACCCACAGGCCACTGTAAGGGGACTCACATTTAATTAGCAGGCTAAGACGTCACGGCCAGACAGTGGTAAGAACGGAGCTCCAGCAGAGAGGTCCGAGTCCAGGACATCTCACACCGGCAGTCAGGCTCCTGTTGAGAAGACGGAGAGTAGCGAGACTCCTACCAAACAGAGGTATGTGTGGTATGTGTGCCGCGCGTGCACGTGCAGTGGTTTTCTTGAGACTTTGTTTCAAGTTCTAAAAGTGTTTTATAACCAAGGATGACCTTCATTAAAATTAGCACGACTCACTTTTATTTCCTTCTCACACACCATGTTCCTGTAGACGGAAGAGTGCTATGGGTAAGAGGACCCCAACAGGAGCAGCTGGAGGAGCCAGTATGTGTGATATCAGCAAGCAGGGCGGCAGTGGAGACGAGGCCCAGCCTGAAGACGAGAGGATTGAGAAACTGCTCCACCGGTTCCAGGTGTATGACGGAGCAAACGACGAGCTGCATCACATGATCGGACAGTGGGACAGGATCAACGGTGTTGTGTACAGAAAACATGGGGATATTCCTGAAGAGGACCCCAACGCAGGTACTATTTCTTGTGTTAAAGCGATGTTCAATTATTTCTTGTTTTCATTTCAAGCCGCCTTATTGGGCTTATTTTGAGTGAAAATCATCGTCAAGCAAAAGTTTGTTTTTCCCAAAAAACAACGTATCCAATAAAACGGTCTTAAAGTAGGACTAAATTCTGAAACCGTAGATACATTTCCAGCTCCACCAGTGAGTAGCGGAAGCAGCAAGAGGAAATTTAAGGAGAAAGACAGCAGAGATAGTGTAGCTACTCGTCAGGACACCAAGGTTGGTATTGTTCAGAATTTACACTAAAATTTCAACAATTAGCATGCATTGAACACTAAATAAGAGTTTTATATTTTATTATGGATCCCTTTTCCAACAATAGGATCTCAATGTGTTCATACATTATATCCCCTCAGTCAGCAGTACAAAGTGCACCAGCACCTCCAGAGTCACCAGTAGGATCAACCGTCTCCGAGGACGTTGAAGACGATGAAAGTAAAGAGAAGATCGGCGTGCCCCTCTTCGTGATCAAAGCAGGAACTTATGATGAAGACGTCTCTCACCAAATCATGGCAGCAGGTTTGCCGACTGTGGAAGAGATTCTAGACGCACTGGGTCTGGGACCTAACGGACCTCCCATTCCACCACCTGCCACATTCTCTGTAACCAGACTACCCGTTAAGAGAAGAGATGTTAACCCACCCCTTCAGCACTTCGTATTCGTGGCCTCTTCATCTGACGACGTGTAAGTAGGCCCATTGTCAAAAATAAGTTTCACTGTACTGTTATGTAACACTTTACTGTATAGTAAAGTAACATTTCAGCTCTATATATACTTAGAAACATATATGAAGGTTTAGTGTATGCGTGATATAAGTGTTATATGAGAGGATCTTGATAATAAATATGCAGGAATGTGGAGAAAGAAGAGAAGAAAGAACCGGAAGACGCTGAGAAAGTGTCCACCCCACCACTGTCAGTTGAAACGAAGGAACCTGTATCAGTTAAGAAAGGTAAAGGGGGACGAGGAACATCTCCTAAACCTCCTAAGGGTGTCAAGGGAACTAAAACCACTGCTCCGTCTCCCATCTCTGTCGAGGAGCGTCCTAGTTCTGTGGCTGAGTCCACTGGAAGCACTCCCAAGAATCCACTGTAAGTTAAATAAAACCAAAATCGTTGTATGAACCAACAATATTGGTAATCCACTTACTGAGTACTAGCCTGTCGCTGATGGTCCTAAAATTTTACAATGCAGTGGTTAATAAAAATTGAATATTGAATCTCATGACTCAATATTTCAGACTCACCTCGCATAGATGGGTAATTGCCCCTAATAGCGATATAACCCTCCGCCTAAGATTCACCTCTACAGACCTGGGAACTTTTGATGAGGTAACAACTAAACTACTTGATTCATTTATGACTATTATTACGAAATGCACAGTTATAATCATGCGAACAACTACGTGAAATAAATTAGGTTCTCAAGAGCTTTCTGTATTCAACTCTTTACCTTGTTCAGTATATGCTTTTAGGGATACGCTGTCTTAAATCTAAAATTTTCTGGAATTTATAAACGAATCTTCCACTCAAATTTTATCATCGTGATCACAAAATACTGTTGTACTGTTATCGTACCCAGTATTATAGTTCTCTGCCAAACCAACAAACCAATGATCATATTTTGACAATAATTAGTCATTTAGTGAACCTAAAGATTTATTATATAATTAGTTTTATTTTAGATGTAATAAGCGTGGTATTTTTAAATGGCATCATGTCTAGGAGTTTACCCTTGCTGCTATGACACAGTTATCTTGTCCTGTACCCGACGCTGATTGGCTAACAAGAGGTCACGTGGTTATCCTTCTTAATGCTGATTGGTCGTAGATAGTCGTTCCGTTATCTTGCTCTTTTATCTTCCTCGGTGCTCATCGACTGACTGGATATAAAAGCTTCCATTTCGATCACGTGCTGCTGCTATCTCTATCACGTTCTATCTCGATCACGTTTCATATAAGGGGTCCAATTGGAACGTTTAGATTTACTCGGATCTCTTATCTCTTATCTTATCTTATGAGGATTCGTTGCGACGCAACAAGGCCATCGAATGAGTCGACCACCTTTGTTATTTTACTTCGGCATTACCTGCATTACAATATAAACCAGCACTTTCAAGGAAGAGCTTTACAAGAAGCCGAAGGATCGTTCCTAAGGCCAGCGACGGTTAAGGCACTATGCCACACTTTCTTCGCCCGAGGCTTCGCTGTGTTGATCAAGCACAGCTCCTCATTTAACCCTCACACCCGATTTCTCGAGCATTCGGCTGAGTGAACCGTGGGGCTACATAGACCACTCGGGATCCTTAGCAGAGCGTCAACGACGCTCACCCCACGACTAGGCAGGCAGTGGGATTCGAACTCGCAACCTCACGATTACAAAGCCGATGATTAACCAACTGCGTTACCTGGCCGGATGAACCAATCAGATATCTTAAATTTGAGACATCGAAACGTTTGCCTTGCCACACTGTGCTTTTGCTATCAACATCATGAAGCTAATGTGGAAAATTTGCGAACCAAAGGTCATTCTTTCCTAGCACATCCGTTAGGGGTTCCATATGCACTGGTTTAGCGTTACCGGTTCTCCTGAAAATGGAGTTGCTCCTGCCAATATCTTTCTTTTAATTCCAGATCCATACTTGATTCTGAGCGTGTTTATGGCACGTGTTATGTTTATGGCACGTCTTCTTTCTTGTAAGTGTAACTGCTCGAAACAGTATAAATACACTCGTGTTTGACATATTTTCTTCTTCTCAGATGCTGAACTTTGAGACAGTAGGAACTCGTCAAAGATACACACTTTGTTGTAGAGGAGTGTGCGCCTTCCCACAAATCAGTACCGATCCCAAGATGGTCTTCATAAACCGCAGAAAGAGTAAATCAGAAGAGGATATCATTCACAAGAAATATGTTCAATCTGAGGATACATACGAGTTTGGACCGCTTCTTTGCGGTAAAAACAGAGACAGGTTGGTCTAATACAAGTTTGGAAAATTGCGATCGTCACTAACATGTTTCTATTGTTTTGTAAAAAATGGCTAAATGTGCTCAGACACATGAACCATTTTAACTCTTTTTATCATCTTTTCCTTCGATATAAACTAAAACAAAATGCTAAATTGATATCACGGTTTCTTCTCGGTAAACTAACCCGAAATATCCGCAAAGGTACAAAGAGGGGAGGTATCCGGAGAACATGGAAAAGTTTAACGTTGTGAACACGTCACCGTTTGAGAGTGAGGTTTCCTTCTGTTTCCAGAACGATGCTAACGCTACCACCTACCTTCTGGATCCTCCTAACATGAAACTAAAACCTGGAGAGGCTCAGGTACTTTTAATAGCTTTATTGAATAAATAGATAAAGAAAGTCAAATTTTATATAAGCTTTCGTGTTGCTTATAACTTTTGTTTTATTTTTTATTACCGATTATAAAAAAAATATTTTGTGGTTGAACTCGTTGAGGAATATATCAGAGTTTCAGTCAAAGCTTTTGAGTAACATTATGGCATTTCATCCTAACAACTATCCTGTAACTCACTACTTTTCCAGGAGTTGAGTGTTTGGGCTTACCCTAAAACTCCGAACGAGTTTAAAGATTGCCTGGTGTGCTGTATCAGAGAAAACCCTCAACCAGTTCAATTTGCCATCTCCTGTATCGGTGTCAGACCTGAGGTGGAACTGGACAAGAAAGTTTTGCAGTTTGATAGAGTCCTTATTCACAGGTTAATATTGTTCCAGATTCTTATGTTCTGTGTTATTTTTTTAGCCTACAAGTCAGTATTTTGTCGTCCAGTTCCGTCTTTTTCTATCAAATAAAGTCAAAACCCCGCTTGCTCTGATCAATATAAACAAGTAAAATCTGCAGGAAGGACACAAGATCACTGTTTATAAGAAACAGCACCCTGCTTCCAGTAGCGTGGCGTGTTAACGGAATGGAGAACCTAGGTGATGACTTCTCCCTGTCCAGTGATCACGGGGTTATCGACCCCCGCCAGGAGTGTGAAGTGAAGCTTCATTTCAAAGCTGTCAAGGTCATCAACGTCAAGAAGAACATACGAATAGAGGTGAGTTAAATTTATTCTAAGTAAATATTTTGGTTTATTTAACATCTAGATTAATCTATAAAACGTGATTTTTAATCTTATATATTTTATCATATATATTGATCTATCAGCGTACTGATAATTGACATAACAATGAATTAATTTCAGATTTCTGATGTAGATCAGATCATGGGTCTGGTACAGAATGAGAACATCCAAGTCCAAGTTGAAGCTTACGACGTTGCTCTCGACATGAGTTTCCCGAAGGGAGCTGACGGTGGTTTGGACTTCGGCATTATGAAGGTGTTCGACGAGGCAAAACAGACCTGTACCCTCAAGAATAGGGGACGTTACGAAATTGGGTTCAAGTAAGTCTTTATTCACGGCGCCAATTTTGAAAACTTGTCAGAACAATGGCAGTGTCTCTTCTCTTTAGGATCTTATTGGTTGAACGTAAAGGAGCAACTGGCGCTTCATCTTCACTCTCCTTTTCATCTTCACTCTCCTTTTCATCTTGTTCATCTTTCTCTTCATCTTTGTCTTCATCATCCTCTTCAGTATTCTTTGTAACGTGTTCTTTCGTGTTAGTTTCCTTTTCTCGATTGTTCTTCATATCGCTGTCTAACGTTAAACTGAAGGACGTTGCGTTTATCCCGCTAATACTGGGAGTAGTACTGTAGCTGTCTTTAACTCCTACTCTATCAGCATATAAACCGTGTTGGGCCGCTGAAGAGGAGATTACTTGTGATTGTTTTTGCCATTGCCTGATGAATTCTGTTTTCTGTATCACCTCCATGTCGTGTATTATGGTGTTTCTCCGTAGATCGAGCTGGCTAAACCTCAGGGCCTTTTCTTTCGCTGATGCGTTTCTGAAAGTCCTGAAATTTTAGGTTTCAATTTATTGCAATATGTAGCCCGTATTTATCGGATTATTCTCGATGTACCGTTCAGGTAGCCGATTGTCAGATTGTGTAAGTTAATTGATTTCTATTTCACAATAAAACTTAACTTAATAAGTTAATCTGTCCACCTTACCTGACATCATCCTCATGCGGTATCCCCACAATCTCAATGTATTTAAAGTCTCCGAATACTTCATATTATAAATCGTCTCCAACTCAACAGAACACAGAACCTTCAACTTCCCAGTCATAGTGTTTATCTCAGCGATACTATCGTAGTCAGCACTTGTGTAAACAAACTCGTTATCTGTAGTACACACCTGGTTAGGCCAGGCTGTGTGGCCTTTGCACACCCACATGGGCGTGGTCAGGCCCAGGTCGTACACGTGCACGTCACGTGACATCCCCGTGACAATGATCAGCCCGTTACTGCAGCAACCAACAGATAGTCCGGGAAAAGGTAGATGGAGCGTGGTGACTATCTGTTTTGCCACTCTAAGGTCCCACAAAATACAGCTCTTATCATATGAAGTAGTAAGACAGTATCTACTATCATTACAGAACACAGCGCCCGTAACACTGTCACCATGTCCCGATAGTCTCTGCACTATAACGTTACGGTTCACGTCGTACACATACGCTATTCTATCACTACACGGCACTAGAACCCTCCTCTCATCTTGACTAAAGGTAGCGCGTCCTAGCCGGTGCTTTGTGATCCGGCACCTTTGGGGCTGGTCTAACAGGTCATCTATATCCAGCACCAGTAGAGTCCCTGTTTTAGTGACACAGGCCACGTGACGAGACGAAGTTGTGATCCTCTTTATTTTACCGTCCCTTGGGCCTGTTTTTATGAGCTTGTTGCTGAGAAGTGAGCACTCCTCAAAGTCCCAGATACGGAGCGAGTTATCTGAGGAGATCGAGTAGATGGTCTTCGTGTCAGTGTGTAGGGTGGCGAAGTTTATCTTGGCTTGGTGCCCAACCAGCGGCCTACACTGTAAGAGAGACCAGGTCAAGGCTGGCGGCTTATGTATTGAGTTTAACATTTTTTTTCACTTATAAATATTTTACCGGGGTAAGCACAGGGCTCCAATGCTCTATCTTATAGTGGTCATCCTAATCATGACCACAGCCCCCTACGAAGAAGAAGAATATAATGATTGCTTTGGTTTATAAATTTTTTAGATAGGTAACCAAAAAAAACACTCTTTTTATTTAAAAAAATCTAAAATCTTTAACTCACTTGAACTTTTGGAGTCTTACGACGGTGTTTGTGCTCCATCTCAGCTAGCAAGAAACAAATAATCAGACAAACCTGCTGTCGTCACATTATAAAATAAACTTAAGAGTCGACACAAATATAACGGCATAAAGTTACGAGCAACAGTCCACGTGAGAGGTCGTGCTCGCGTCTCATATAAGGTTGGCTATTCACGCTGTTTTAAATCGTGTATAATTGAGCTGCTGTCAGGAGAGGTTGTTAGAGACAACAGGGATCTCTGCTTGTTATCTTCTTCTTCTTTGTAGGGGGCTGTGGTCATTATCACTAATGAAAAGATCGTGACCACTGTAAGATAGAGCATTGGAGCACTGTGCTTACCCCGGTAAAATTAATAAGCGGAGAAAAAAAGTTAAACTTTGTTTTAAAAAAAATTATCATGGAGCTTAATTAGGATTACGATATAGCTCTTTCTAATAGGATAGGTGTCTCTTCAGGTGAAATTACCAGCAATATTATAATGCCAGACAAGTATTATCTCATGCTAATTTAGATATTAGTTACTTAAACAGCTGTTTAATAACTGTCTGGTAAAGGCTTTAATTCATTAAAGACAAATCATACAAATCATACTCTGCAACATGAATCTAAAATCTATTTATTAGTACAACGAACAATATCCATTAACTATTTTCCTCTCCAGGTTCACATTTGATTCCTCTGACCCAGTAATGAGGGAGGCGATGGAACTGTTCAAAGTAGACCCACCCTCCGGTCAACTCTTCCCCAACGACAAACCAACCACCGTGCACGTCATATTCAAGAGCAAAAAGGAGTGCAACATCAAGGACGTGCCTATTTTGAAGTGTCAAGTTATTGAGCCGCATCTCGGTAACCAGGGCGGAGTTATCGCTAACATCCCCGTTAAACTTAGTGCTAGGTAAGACGTTGTTGTTGTTTATGTTAAATCACTATTCATTTATCTCACTGGATTCCCAACAATAACTTGTTTAGTCAAAGATTAAAGAGTAATCGTTAATAAACGAGCATCTTTTAGGATCCCGATATCATTTTGTGTTTCAATAAAGTATTTTCAATCGTTGTCGGTATTTCTCGTTCCATGACGATCGTTTAATGCATTTGCTTCTTTTCCAGGTCGGTGTTCAGTAAATTCGCCATCCACCCACTAAAAGACGTCAACTTTGGACCGATGATAATAAACATCAAGAAGCAACGACAGTTCTTAATCGAGAACCACGGTGACTTTGAGTTCCGGTACAGTATCGTGAAAGTGAGCAACAAGGGACTTATTGGACAGAAGCCCAATAACAAGCAGCGTGGTAGTACAAGAGAGGGAGAATCTGGTCGCACATCTTCCCAACTTATGCTAGGTTATTTTATTTGTATTTATTTTAGCTTCATTTTTATGGCGACAAGAAAGAAATTCTTTTGATGCTATGCTGACCAAAGTTGGATAAATGCTATCGCTCAATAACCCGAACCTTGAACCACCAGGTACCAGAGGTCGAGGTCAGCGCAGCGACAGTCTTAGTAATGTACCGTCCACCACGCGTCGCCAGGAGATAGTTGGTGGAAACGTGCGTGCGCAGTTCGGAATGTTCTACTTATACCCAGCAAGCGGGACCATCAGCTCCAACGGCCAACAGCTAGTAACAGTGGAGTGTCTGGCTGAAAACCCCGGTAGATGCGAGGAAGTGCTCGCTATTGACGTGTCAGACAGGGCCCCCTCTGAGCCTCCAGTTTACTATAAACTCAGCGGTGAGGTAGTTATACCTGGGTTCGTCACACAGGATATGAACACGATATTTGAGGAGCATCTTATTGTGGCCAACAGTGATGTTCTCACGCTCTCGAAAGGCCCAAATGTAAGATACTAGCTTTTAAGTGATATATCTTATCTCTGTTCACATAGTTATATATTATATTATATCTGTTCACAGAACCCAAAATCACAATTGAAAATTAGCTATATAGGATGGCACAATGTTATGTAATAGGATCGCACAATGTTATGTAATAGGAATACTATTACTACTAAGGAATAGCTCAATATTTAACACTGCCAGCTCCGCAGTGCGGCATCTACTTTGTGTTGATCTCGGTCAATCCTGTAATTGTAAGATAAGTAATTATACAATTGCTTACAATAAATTGTTCAGTTCAAGCCCGAGAAAGAGGATGTTGGCGTGTACCTTATCGAGGAGAACAAGTTCTTGTTTAGCTACGTTGTGGTCGGACAGAAAGCGTGTGCTCGCTTCAAGATACTAAATTCAAGAATGGTTTGTCTTACAATAACTCTACAAAATTGCATCCAACTAGGATCGCTAAAGAAATACATATCTTACTAAAAACTGTAACTGAATACTTAAGGTTTTCCAGATCGATCAAGTGACTCCACAACCTCCCAGGTGCCATGTGATATCTCGTGCGTAGTACGGCAGCCTCAAACTAAGCAGATGAGCAAGAGTAGTAGTCACGGGAGCGACGTGTTCGAGATCACACCCTCCCGGACCACCATACAACCCTACTCACATGTCTACTGTACTGTCAATTTCACTCCCTCTGCTATACAGAACTACAACGCTATTGTAGAGGTTGGTTTTTGGCTGTGAGATTTTTATGTTTCCGGAATTTGGAGTGATTCTGAGCTTTTGGCGGGATTCTTTTTGCAACTTAACATTGTAATCTGATTTCTGTAGAATTTGTTGTTGTTGAAAGAGTTTGGTTTAAGATTAAACTGACAGCTTTGTCTGTTAAGGGTAAATAAATACTCGTGTGCTCATTCTCTCCACTTTCAGATAAACGCAGAGGGTCTACACCAGAGCATTCCTCTAAAAGACAGGAACCTGACATTTGACATCCAAGGAGAGGGCACCCTGCCCTCCATAAGTATCGTCAAGCCAGTGACCTGTACCAAGAAGAACCAGCCTGTTATCCAGTTCAGTCGTTTACTGCTGGGACAAAGTCAGAGTAAACCGCTCGTCATTGAGAATACTGGCAATATTCCAACTAAGGTTTGTACAGTGGGCACGCCAGTATGATTTTAATAGAGTATTTTAATAAAAATCTTCTTGAAGTCAGCTTCAATACCCTCACATACTCAATTTAACAGGTTCTGGTTGAGATGCATGTTCCAGACACCTCCTTCACTTTGTACGCTCCTGATGAAACTCTGGATATGATCACGGAGGGAGTGGTGGAGAAACCAGCCTCCGCTTACGGCTACTTCCTTCCTGGTCTAACTCCAATCAGGCGGCCCGTCACTCTGGAGTTACACTCCAAGGAGAAAGTGACATTCGAGGTGGTTTGCAGGAGCATTCACATTTCCAAACTAAATGCGGAGATTAAGATCATCGTAGAGGATAATAGGTAAAGTGGAAACTATCGGTTGAATCAGCTTTAGACAGACTTGTATCGGGATGTTCATTAATTTAACGTTATCTCGGAGCGAATGTTGCTTGCTAAAAAACTGTTTGCAGCTTGTATTCATGCTCCTTGCTTTCAAAACATCGTTACTACGCGCGCGGTCATATTATGAACGTAACGCGCGAACTCCGTTCGCAATGTGATTGATTAAAAAGTGTTGCTGCGAGCACTTTTTGTTGCTAGGGGACTTGTTTCCATAGCAACCAAAAACTTTATAATTTACAACGATTTTACCCATTTGACTGATCGACAAAAAATGTTTACAGATTTGAAGACAGTACAATACTGGTTGTCGGCGAGGGATACGAAGATGACATAACTTTGGATAACGTGCGAGGCAGCAGCAAACAGGGCACTGAATTTGCCGAGGACAACATTCTAGAGTCAGTGACTGCCGATATTGGCGCTGTGCACTTGAACTTCGGTGACTGTGCTATCAACGAGCTTCATCAAATGACATTCACCCTCACCAACCACTCGAGCACAGATCCGTACAGATTCTCATGGGGACCTCAAGCCAACATAACCTTCGTACCGAACATTGGCCACTTGCATCCGAGGTGCAGCAAAGACATAATTGCTGAGTTTAAGGCTGGAGAACCAGTAAGTTTCCAGAACCAAGCTATCCCCTGCAAAGTGGTGAAAATAACTTTCCCTCAGCCTTTAGCTCAAGTTGCCGACTGGGATGACAGAATGAAGATAATAAGGTGGATATCAAAGAAACCCAGGAAATCTCTCGGCTCTACTGCCGATGAAGAAAGAGTTGCATCTCCTTCAAAAGCGACCAAGAAAGACTCCAAAGCAGAGAAAGAGAAGAAAGCTGCTGAAAAAGTTGAAGTTGTTGAGCCTAAGCCAGAGCCAGTGGTAGAAGACAAGTCTCAAAAGGAGAAGGTGGTTGAAACTGAGCCAGAACCAGCAAATACGACGATTGATGACTCAGCACGTGAATTGCCACTTTGTGCAAGTGCTACAGCAGACTTTGCTAGTTTCAGTGTCGACTGTGAGGAGATCATATTCTCAAACACTCTAATGTTCCAAAGCAGAGTGTTCAAGTTCAACATCTACAACAACGGCAATATCCTGTTGGACTATCACTGGTCTTTATCTGGTATGTTAATTACTGTTGTCTGAGGAATTGTTAAGATTTCTTCATTTTCTTGATAACAGAATCTGACTTTCTGTGAATGCACAATAATGCTTACTACCACACTGGACGATCAGATAATTGGTAGGAGTTTTATAAACAAATTTTCATCCTCCTATTTCATAATTTTACTATCAGGTAAAAATGGTTGTGAGAAGGTCAGTTTCGAGTCCAATGCCAACGCAGAGCGGCCCCAATCCGCTGCCGGGCAGCGCCGTCGTGATCTGACAGAAACAGATATAGAGAAGCCCCCATTTATGATAGAGCCGACATCTGGTCATGTGCTGGTGGGCCAGCAGCAAGAATTCAAGGTCACATACTCGCCTCTTGACTGTGTGACCAGTGAGGGATGGCTAGACTGCAGGTTAGTAACTATTTTATGAGAGCCTCGCCTTCAACTGGCCAGTCATTTTGATGGTTATTTTACGTAAATTATTTGGAGGCGGTTAGTGCACTTATATAAATATTCAATACCTTACGAGACATATTTAAATGGTACGAAAGTCGGTGGTTTTTCGAAAAAAACACAATTTTTTCGGACAAAATTTAGGTCACCATCATTATTTTCCCCAAATTATTTTTCATGTTGACTTACTTGACTTAAGGCGGGTAGTATTCCCGAGATCCTTTGACAACAGTTCTCCATAGCTTTCTGTCCTCCATCAGTCTAGCTATCTCATCTACTGATTTCAGCCCAGTATCTGCTTTTAGGTTATCTAGTAGTGTTAAGCAAGGTCGCCCCCTGTTAGTATGCCCATGACTCGGCTTCCAGAGGATCAGTTTGTTCAGTGTCAGCTCCAGATGTTGGTGAGCATGACCTGCAAGTCTGAGCCTTCGTTGGGTTATCTTGGAGCTGACTTTGGGAAGATCACCGTACAGGCTGTGGTTGCTGACATGGTCTCGATATTGATTGATGTTAAGGGCCATTCTTAACATTCGTGTATACTGTATAGCAACCATCAACCATCTTCTTTAGCCTTTTCGTCATAGTCCAAGTCTCGGAACCGTATAGAAGCACCGACTCGACTAGTGCTGTAAACACTCTGGTCTTGTTACACTTTCTAAGATTAGATTTCCAAAGTTTTTTGAGAGTGTGGCATGCTCCCCATGCTCCTCCTTTCCTAACTCTGATATCACTCTCACTGTCTCTGATTCTAGAACCAAGATAGGTAAAGTCTTCCACGTGCTCTATTGTGTTGTTACCCAGGGACTTGATGGTATCAGGGTTCTCGATGTTCTGAGTAATGAATTTGGTTTTCCCTTCATTCATTTTAAGTCCCACTGTAGCAGCAACCCTTTCTACTTCTAGCATCAGCATCTCTGCCTCCTTAACAGTATCTGCTATCAGAGCAATGTCATCTGCAAAACAGTGTCTGATATGTTTCATGTATTTTCCTTAATTATAAGTTTATCGATTTACTATCAACTTATCAATATAGTAAGTTATAAATATGATTCATCTAACAATTAACGAACACTAGTATTCTATCATGAATTGCTTTAAAAATGATTTTGGACACGTTCCATTAAAACTAAGCAAGCTCTGTCACTATGTGATAGTGAAATTTCGGGATTAGTGGAAGATAACAAACACTGTCGGTCTCCTATACCCTCTGGAGGATTATAAGTTAAGTCGAGGCTAACTTTCAAAGGCTCCTGAGAAATTGTTTACAAGATGAAACAGCTGATCAGAGAAGATTTTTGTATTTAATTTTCTCAAATATTGGGTTTCATTTTTGTAAAATAAGGACATGAAAAAAATCCCCGAATACTATGATTTAATTTGGGGTACGAAATGTGGCGGTTTTCGGTAAAAATGTCCATATTTTCGTTCCCAAATCATTTAGGTCACCGGAATTATGTCGAACATAAATAATAAATATGTCTCGTAAGGTATATCGAATATTGAAACGTAATATAAGTATTAATGACTTTATGCACTTCTAGCTCCAGATTTTAAAATGGGTTCTGCTGAATAATGGGATGCTTATGGCGGCTACAATCCATCTAAATTTTAACTTTACAGGATATCAAATCTGGCGGAGGGTAGAATACAACCCCAGATAATGCTGCGTGGTACCGGACTAATGCCGTTCTGTCACTTCGAGCTGGAAGAATCGGACTACATCACTGGAAACAGGAGAAAGCCAGATCTGAAGGGACCCAAGGGATCTCCTCCTGGTGTTTCCTTAGATCAAGCCACCCGTGTCATTGAGTTCTCCTCCTGTGGTGTCAGCGTGTTGAATACTGTTTCTTTTAATATTCTCAACCCTACCTCGGAAACATGGAAATTTGCAATTATCAACGAGGGTGGAGAAAAATCGGGTATTTAATATTTATCGCCCTTATTAAGATTTATGACAATTGACAATATCGATCATTGACATTACACATATTATGACGTAAGCCAAAATTCAGACACCCACTTATTTCTTATTTTAATCATATCTCCGCCAATTCTAGGAAACGAAGTTCAGTGTAAAACACTAAACGGACTCGTGTCTCATGGTAAGAAGGCAACAATTACCTTCGAGTTTACCCCATCCTCCCTGGAATTGGTGGAATCGTTCTGGCGGTTCACTATCCCATCTCTCGGGCTTAGTGTTCCTCTTCTGGTGGTTGGTCAGACCAAGGAACCAAGAGTCGTTATCGACAAGAGTCAGGTTCGTTTCATTGTAAATCAGCTTTAAGCTTAGTTTATATAAGTTTGACGGTGTATTCGATTAAAGCTGAAACCTGTTAAAACTTTTTAATGGAAACTTGAGACAGAACGATTTAAAGTTGATTTGATGTTTGATATCGATGATTTTCATTAAATGTATGCCAGTGTTAATCACCAATTTAAAATCGAACCACCAATAAATCAACATCTTCCTTCAGATCAACTTCAAATCACTGCTTCTCAAGAAACACGCTGTTGAGCGCTGTCACATTATAAACAACGAGGAGACGCCTTTTGCGGTGGCGTTTGACGAGAAATGCTTAACCGCTCATTCTTCTACAGCAGTACTTCAGGTCCAGCCAATGCAAGCTGTTATCCCTCCTAAATCAAGGTATTAATCAATAATCTCAACTTGGAAGAGCAATAATTTTAACAGCCGTCATTTAAATTTTTTCCCGTCAAATATTTACTGGCAGACAAGCTGGCATTTATTATTATATAATTTTATTATATAGTATTTATTATATACTATTTATCATATATAGTATTAACGTGGATCTGTTTTGCAGTTTAGCCGTGGATATAATATTTGAACCACATGCGGAGGGATTATTCAACTACAACCTGATAGTGGATGTCAAGAAGAAGCCGTCACCACTTCAGATAAATGTTAAGGGAGAGGGGTATAAGATGCAAGTGGCTTGTTCCGTACAGGACGATAAAGGAAGCCAACTGACTTTACTTCCTGGCAACACCAATAATATTGTCAACTTTGGTGAGGTAGGTCAAACTTGAGAATTTGCTTCCCAATAAAATCGATTTATTAAAGTTGTTCGTTTAAGAACTTACCTACTGTATATCTTTATACGGTTAAACGGTTAATATCGTTGAAATTGTGTTGCAATAAATTGTCTTCGACTTGATGATAAATTCATAAATAGATACAAAATTATTTTAATTATCTAGATTACGTCATGTCTCGTCTCCCACTAACCACTGGGTTTGCAGATAATATATTCAATAAAAGTGATCAAACACTTGCAAACTTTTCTGGGGAACCAAGCAACAACTAATTATTAGTTTAATATTAAAATATAATATTATATTATATTACATTATGTAAATAATCAATAAATCGAATCAAAAACATTGATATTGTTAACAGGTGCAGCTAAACGAAAAGAGCCTACAAAAGGTAACCCTTGTAAACAGTGGGAAGTTCGACTGCCTCTACGACTGGAAGCTGAGCATCCCACCGAGATTCGGGAAAGTTCCCCCAATAATAACCGTTAGCCCATCCTCTGGGGTTGTTAAACCTGGCTCCAGAACATTCTGTGATGTCGCGTTCTGTCCGCCTCATAAGCTCACACTCCGAGATGTCTCTGCTGTTTGTGAGGTGAGTTTTGTAACAAAAATTTCAGAGGTTTAAGAACTGAGGTTAACGTTGTGCGTGTTCTTTTTAAACCGAACTCTGATTTTTAGAGGCGACTTCAAAACGTGAAAGGAACACAACTTTAAATCTATATTTTTTATAATTATCATGATACAAATACATCCTTACAGATAAAGAACGGCAGACCGTTTCCAATCAGCTTGATTGGAGCAGGAATCCTTCCTGACCTACACTTCTCATTCAAACACCACAACTTTGGACCTTGCTTCCTCTACCAACCGGGAATGTCTCACCAGAAAACCACCCTGATCGTCACAAACCAGGACATCCGGGACATCTCAATAGACTGTCTGTACCAATCTAATGCGTTCCTCGAGGTAACGAGCAAGCCGTGTGTGATACCGGCAGGAAAGCGGACTGAAGTTACCTTCTCGTTTTATCCTCGTCAGATCATGAAATACCGTGAAACTGTTACCTTCCTGGTTAACGGGCTGAGCCATGTTGAGGTTGTTATAGGCGGACAGGGCACTGAACTCCGGGTTGGTACATTTTTATTGGACATTAATTCTTAATACTCAACTTGATCTTTGTTTTAGGTTGCTTAAACATAAAAATCTGGAAATTTGTCCTATATTATATGTCAGCTGTCTGCGGAAGCTGTTTATCAAAATAATCATAATATTTGTTCGTATTAAAACATTTGATAGGCATATTGCATAACATGATATTATGCCATTGAGACTATATCGTGCCACAGAGCACTGATCTTAAACGTCTAAAAGCTTAAAAGCTCCTTTTCCTCCCAAGAATGTTAATAAATAATGTCAACAATTATCACAGGTAGACGTGGTGACTCCTAAAAAGAAAGTAGTAAACTTCGGGGCCCTCCAGATAGGGGAGACCTGCACCAGGACCGTCTCTCTGGTAAACAAATCTCTGGCACCAGTGTCATTCCTACTGGTGGCGGCGCCTAATGCAGCACTTCCTTCCGGCGTGCTCAGCATTAACCCCGCCATGGAGATAACCATGAAACCTAAGGGGTCTACACTAGACGTCCAAGTTAGATTCGCACCAACCACCAGAGTGCCCTACTTCAGTGAAGAGGTAGGATATTTCAAGAGTTTGTTGAAAATTCTAGAAATTTCAATTAGACACGTCTATAACTTTACCATAATCTTTATTATTATTTTGCATTTTAACGTCATTTGGCATGGTTATAGACGCTTACTCTTTAAGTTTAAGGTAGTTAGGCTACGATCACATGATTTAACTACTTCCTCACTAGAATCTGCAGAAGAGATTACATGTGTACCAGATAGTCATTTTGCTAGCCACTAGGCAGAAATATTTAAATATTCAAAACTGTTTCGGCTTATTTATTGAAAATATTAAACGATTAGTAACATGCAGAATTGTAGAATTGTAGATTAAATTTTGAAGATGGGCGTTTAAACCTGCCGGTTTATAACTCTCTGCAAAGTAAAGAAGGGTGTATCCAAATGTTATAACGCCTATTATATGTTATAACCAACTAACCAGAGAACCAACCCCACAACTCACACAGGTTATGCTGGAGTGTGTGGGAGGAATATCAGTGCCACTGTTTACCATACAAGGTAGCTGCCAGGCTGTGGGAATAGAGCTTGACACTGAACACATTCCGTTTGGTGCGGTTGTCCGTGGTGCACAGAGCACGCGCAAGTTGGTCATGTACAACACAGGAGACATAGGTGCTCGCTTCAGATGGGACGAGACAAGCTTCGCACCCGACTTCTCCATCTCACCGGTAGAGGGATACGTTGCCACGGGGATGCACGTGGATTTCACGATCACATTCCACCCCGTGAAGCACGAACGTGACGTGCGCTACGATAACTTGATATGTGATATTGAAGACGGAACACGACTTTACCTTACCATGACTGGTTCTTGTATCCCTGCTACTCCTACTAAGGAGGTACAATTATTGCCTCATCAAACTACAATTACTATCTTCCTTTTTATTAGATTACTTCTTGAGCACTGTTATACATAGGTATTTATCGTACAAATCAAATGCTAATTTCTTTACAATTACTCAGGTACTAAACTTTGTGTGCTCGGTAAGGAGCAAAGAAACAAGAAGTTTGACTCTGCACAATAAGACAGGAACTCTGTGGACTCTTGGTCCTGTTATTGAAGGAGAACACTTCTCAGGTGGGTTTTAAAAATCCTTTATCTTCAAATAGAGTTGCATTGAGAATATGATTTCGGACCAATTTTATTTTCATTCTTAATTGATCGCCTACCGTGGAGTCGACTATCAGATCCAAAAAAATCACTAAAGGAACTTCTCAGTGATCAAAATTTATCGTTTGAATTTGAGAAAAGGTATACAAAATTTAAAATTATGATGTTTTTCTCATATATGTGACATTCTTACTTTTCTCGTCGAAGGGAGCCATCTTTTTGCACGGCTTCTGGGGCGGAAGCTGCAATTATCCAGTTAAACTATAGCTATAATTAGTATTACTCAGCATTTTACAACCGAAACACCCATTCGCTCGATCATACACGGATGTTTATTTATTTGACCTGATTTCCTTCAATCGATAGAAAGAAATCAGTGGTTAGTAACAGCGTTTGACCGTATATTACAATGACCGTAACGGAGTTCACTATTAGATTATTAACGGCGTCCTTAACGTTAAGTTAATGTTAATTACTATTACGATGATATCATCAAGAAAAATTTATCAGAATTCAAATTTCTGTTTGTTGTTGTTGTACAACCCGGACTGTTCGTTTCATTTCAACTGATGTTCGTTCAATGGACCCAAAATTTGATATACTCTTTATATTAATAAATTATATTACTAGCCAGCGCCACGATTTAAAGTTTCCAGAAGCCCTCTAGGGTTGAGTATGGTCGTCACGATTAAATTAGTTCAGACGTGAAATTAATTTATGTAGGCCACCGCCCAGCTATAAAATGTTCTATAAAATGTTCTAGAATATTCATGACACATGAGCATTAATTGTCTCGATATAAATGTTAATACATTTTTTATAAGAAAATATATTTTATATACGTATTGACAATTTTTCTAAATTAAAAAAATTATATATTGATCCCAATAATCGTGACGTCAATTCTGTTAACTGATAATTTTATTTTGTCACGTTCGTTTATTTATTCTATATTGGGTATATTCACCAAATTGGCTCCTAAAATCACAAGACTAACCCCTTCTCCCCTTTTTATGTGCAATTTGATTAGTCACTCTGTTTTTTCGTACTCATCTCATGGGAAATTAAAAGGAACAACAATATAATGTTCAATCCGTTCAGCAGTTACAGTAAGAATGTCGTTATTAAGCCAGGGAGGAACTTCAAGTCCAGACTTTATCATATTCCTACTGGTCCTCACCTTTGGTACCCTCTGTGTTTCTCTCAACCTGGTGATGTATCTCCACAACCACTTCAAGCCCCACTGTCCAGCTACCTTTCTCTTCAGGATCCTGGCTCTCCTGGACCTATTAACAGGGATAACTCAGCCTGTAGTGGTTGCCCTACATGCTTTCAGCACTTCCCCCTCAGAACTTGTCTTCCCCGGAGATCCTGAAAATCTTGACAAGTGTGCGGTTTCAGATCGCGTCCTGGGATGTGCTTGCTTGGTTCTGAGGTTCATGCCCATATCAGTGGTGGGTGTGCTGGCTATTTCCAGATTTGTTCAGATTAAGTACCCGTTTAGCCATGTGAAACGCATCTACCTGGTAACCCCTCTAGCTCTTATTAGTGTTTACACTCTGGCTGTATCCGGGTACGTTTCTTTTCACAATGATTGCAGATGGAACCCTTACTTGCTCCAACCAAGCATCGGCATCCTGTCCAGCAGTGTTGCTATCAGTGGGGCCATCATGACTTTTCCTAGCGTAATCCTGACTGTGGTATCCAGCTTCTGTTCCCTTTTAACTATCTATGAGTTAGTCAAACGTGGTACTCAGAGAGAGAGTTTAAGAGGAGCTCCTGTTCGTAGTGCTCTCAGAGGGATTGTGGTGGTTCCTGGGGGAGCCCCTCTGAAGATCGCTCGGGTTTCATGGCGGCGGTCTTGTTTTAAGATCGTGGCTATGAACTTTACAAACATCAGTTTCATGTTGCATTACTTGATTCTGATCAACACCGTCTCAACTGATGGTATTCATGGCAACATTTCCGATGTTTCCAATTTTATAGTCCTGTTCGGTACATGTACTTTACAGCCCCTTGAAACTTCACTGGTGAACCCTGTCGTGTTTTTGATCTTCGCAGGAAATCCTCTGTCAAATATTTTCCGAAAACTTCCGAGAGGAATGAGTTATTTTAGCAGTCGAGGATGATATATTTGAAGTTTTAAAACATTTAAATGCATTATAGATGACAACTTCATCATTTGAGATGTTCATCATTGTTGCTAAAAGTATTCAATTGTTCTATATTGTATAATTAGAAATCCCGAAGTATGGTGCGATATAACAAATAAAACAAAAATACAGGACAGAACATGTTTTGATTTTTTAAAGATATACGAAAATATTTTTGATGGCAATGACCTTGGTTAAGCTGGTCAAGTCTTGCAAAAGGATGAACATATGAAGTGGATTTTATCTTATTTTCATAAGAATTACTTTGTACTTTCAATCGTGATTTTGAAAGTGGTAGTAACTTTTGTTCTTCAAATCTTAATCTTACTATATATAAAGCGAGACGATATATATATATTTATCTGTGCCATTTTACTGACACCACGGCATCAACTTTAACACGACTTTCCGCAAAAACCGTAAAAGATATACAACTGAAACTTTTTTGACTGGGTCAAATGCTTTAATGGCCTTCAAATCAGCATGAAAAAATAAAAAATTGGCCAAGAAATAGGAGTTTTAGAGCCCAAAATTTGGACCTCCAAGTGGTGTCAAAAACGCGAATTAAATAGGTAATAATTATTTTAGTCTCTTGATTCTTGACACCACTTTAGGGTTAGACGGGTTCCAATGACCTTGGTTAAGCTGGTCAAGTCTTGCAAAAGGATGAACATATGAAGTGGATTTTATCTTATTTTCATAAGAATTACTTTGTACTTTCAATCGTGATTTTGAAAGTGGTAGTAACTTTTGTTCTTCAAATCTTAATCACTATAACGCTTAACTGCAATTGCAAGACATCTGAATCGTTTAAGGTAGTGTCTCCAATATCTTGCACTTCACTGAAATATGATAGTGGTTACCCTATAACGTTTATAAAATTCTAGAACAATCCACCATATATATATAAGTATATAGCATACAGACGAGAATGATGAGGTCCTCCAACTCTCTCGTGAATTACTTCGAGTACTTTCAATCATGATTTTGAAAGTGGTAGTAACTTTAGTCCCTCCAATCTTTTAAGGTAGTTTCTCCAATATCTTGCACTTCATTGGACTATGACAGTAATCGCCTCTATAACCTCTATAAACTTCTAGAACAATCGATCATATATAGCCTACAGACGAGAATTTGGACATAGAATAATAATGGGGTCTCCAATTCTCTCACAGGAATTAAGCTTCAACAGGGGCAGATAATTAAGTGGGTAGTGGGTACCACGTCACACTGCACTTTTTAAAAGGCATTTTTATCGCCAAGGAAGTAGAAAGTGAGTTAACTAATTACTATGAGTGAAACTTCTAATTTCTATCATGATCAACCCAACCGTATCCATAAACCCAACCTCTACTCCTAGGTATCGAACTTACGTTAGCCGATTCAACATAGACCTATGGGAGGGGTTTTGGAAACGCTTACTAGCGTAATTTCTATTTCTATACTAGCTATGTTTAAAATGGCTTACGGACTACGGAGGGGGGGGAAGGTGCGTCTTAAATGGCTGAAAATTGGGAATTTATTGTCAGGTCACAATTACCAGGTTGATTTAAGCAAAAAAATACGTATGTATTAGTTTTTAGACGAATGGCAATATCAACCAGCGCAAAATTCTGATAGTTTATCAAACTGTCTCGACGATTTAAACAATTTAACTTAAATGCAATTCTTAAATTCTTAACTGATTTAAATATTAATATCTCAATACATGGGAACTCAGTAATAACATCTATTTAGAAAATAAGTTGCTACACTTTATAGTTACAACTCTTAAAAAGTTGTTCATTATATTCACATAGAATATGTTGATGGTTTGTAGTATCGTTCGCACAGAACTGAATTTGTAAAGTTTCCGGCTTTGGAGTTAATAAATGAAGGCCATTTATCCACCGTTTAAAAAGTCTGAATCTACTCAGAATTCAATTAATCTGATATTTTTAAATTTGAGCTATTTCAAGAAATTTAAAGGATTTCCTAAAATATTTAAACTGCTCAGATTGATCAAATCTGCAAATAGATATTGAATACATATTTAGCAACAAATATTGCTATATTCGGCATGGAATTATGGGTCGGCGTCCAAGAACTTAAATAAATTTAAATAGAGTGGTAGGTATTCCAACGAATTTATGCATTATTGGAAACTCTCACAAAAGTTCTCTCTAGATCTTAATAGCCAAGACGAGACTCAACTGTTCTGTGTAGGACAGAACTTTGTATTCCAGGATTTTCTGTTGATTATTAACTAATTATTAAATCATCAATAACCTATAATATATTTATCATCAATAACCTGTTTGGTATTTTTAGGTGCCGAACAATTGGTGGTGGAACCAGGACAACACAGACAGTACGAAGTTACCTATCATCCTCTAACCATGACGACCGAAAACAGAAAACACAATGTGAGTTGTTTACTTTAGCTTGGGCCGTAATCGTTGTTTCATCGATTCCCCTGGTCTTGAAATGTGTCTCTGTGGAACGAAATGAAACACAGGAATTCAGATATTGATAAATGAATTAACAAATGGATTAACAAACAAATTATCGAATAACACGATAACAATTCGAATTAAATGATTTAAACGATCGTGTCTGGGTAGTTATCCAAAAACAGCTGGGTTTAAAAGGTCGTTCAAAAACATCAAGGAAAGCTAACTCTTTGAAAGATGACAAAGAAAAAAATATGGATGTTTTCAAACTCAATTCCAAAAACGTATTATGAATTTGTCGAAATCTTTATAAATTGAGATCTACATCATTGTCTTGATAAATCTAAAATTTCATCATTTCTCTAACACTAGATTTATGACGAAAAGTTGTCTTAACTGATACAGTGGTAGTATGATCGTGAGTGTATCTATTCAATGTGGGAGACGGTCTCATCTCTACTGAATAACCAATATGTTTCCTGGCATTTTGTCTTTTAATGTTCTGTCTCTTTATTGAAACCTTAACCGTCACCGGGGAAACACTGCTTTTAGTATTTCCTTTTACAGGAGATAATTTTCCTTTAAGCGCTCTTGGGGATATTATCACTTTGGAGGTGTCCGTCATTCCGTCCTCAATGCTCCTCATGTAACTCCTCGACTTTGACGCCCTCCTTGGTCGGAGAAGGGCCATTCTAATTTTTTCGTAGTTCCTGGCTGTCACGATGATGGGGTTCAATGTGGAGGTAAGGATGGGCAGGAACCCAAACAAGACGTCGTGGAAACTGATTTGTCCGGGCTTGGCGTTCGCGTAGATTATGAAGCAGATGGAGGTTAAGTAAGGAATGTTCATCAGCAGGATGGTTACACAACTCCGCATTCTTTGTCGTATCATAGAAACGCTGCTGTTGCAGTGCTCTTGGAATGTCTGTTGAAGTGTCAGAGCTTGAAGGTAGGTGCACCAGAGCAGATAGACGGAGGTGATGACAGATGTTATGATTCCAGTGCTGCAGTGAACCAGGTTCAGCAAGAAGCAGGTGTGGACCAGGATCGACATCATGGTCCCTCTCTCTTCAGCTCCACTCATCTGCACGGCCAGCGAGCACGTGCTGTTCACCGCCATCAGCGCACTGTACCCTGCAATGTAGATCAGAACAGACTTCTTGCAGACCATGGTAAAAGGGAGTATGACCCTGAAGAAGCGGGTAACAGCCAGCATCCAGGTGATGACTTGCGAGGTGCAGCCCAAGATGCAGACTAGCTGGCGGGTGAATGTGGCCAACTTGTTCTTGCAGGGATACAGTTCAGAGGAGAACATGAGACTTGCATACAGCCAGGGAGCGTAGACTGTGGTGAGTAGGTCCACCAGGGACAGGCTCTTGAACAGGAAGTTTGTAATGTTAGATTGTTTGAGCTTGTTGAATCGGTAGACCACGTAGTTAAGAGTACACGACACCACAAAGCACACCATCAAGACCACTCCGGCTATCAGGTTTATCATCCTGTCTGTACTGGTGGGAACATAGGTTGTATTTCCTGGAACTGACTCTCCTAGGTGAGCTGAGAAGTCTTTGTTGTAAAGAGGGGCATCCTCTATGAACACTAGCTTCCAGAATATCAACATTTCCTGAACAGTGAACTGGTTAATATACATTTATTGAATCTTGTACATACTTCTCAATCTTACGAAAGTTTGTATCGAATGATTTTGCAATAGTCATAGAGCGATTATATGATTTTACTTCAGCGAAATAGGGTGGATAAAATAAAAGTTAGAATATTTCAAACATCATAACCATTAGACTTTAACCTCAAGTAAATATAGAATCTCGATATTGCATTAAACTGGTGCTCCTGTTCTAACCATAAGGGGTCGTTCACCTATTTGTAACCCTCCCTCCCCCCTCCGTAATCAATTTTACACATAGCTATTGTGTTAAAATTACACTAGCGTAATCATTTGGAAACTCTCTCCCCCTCCCCCCTCGGCTGACCCCTAAGTGAGAAATAAAAGCGAGGACAATAACCGGTTTGTAGTAATGTACATTTTACAATGGAAATCGAGACGTATAAAATAAAACAGGTGGTAATTAACGGAACCTAAAAATCAAAGCTGCTGATGTTTTTAGTTGAATTGATTATGCTTTTAGTGTTGCCGTTATATAGATCAAGGTACCGAGACACAATCGTCACGCCCTGTTGTGCGTGAAAACCCATTCCAGAGATCTCGATCACTATTTAGGTGATCGTTTACTGGCAAAGTAGGTTTTACGAAGCATGATATACCCATGTTCTCAGACTTGAGACTGCCGGAGAGGTAACGCAATCTTGCTCTGACACATGACAGCGATTTACGATTGTGATAGATTTCCGTTGCGCCATGATACTGTATCGGAGTTGTGCGCAACCTCCTCGCCATTTTTCAAGTCTATCATAGGCTATTAATATATATATATATATATATTAATATTAATATATATATATATAACAGATGCTGTGTGTCTATCAACTAAACAAGTGTGTTTTCAACTCTAAAATTCCCACAAACAATTGGGTAACAACAAAAATGATCTCTTCGTTTGATGAGATGTCTTGACATATTCTACCTCAAATACGTTTATATGTTAAAAGACGAATGGCTAAAGGCTAACACCTGGAATCTCGCCACCATTTACTTAGTCCTTGAGTGGTAAGAAATATGACAAGGTAACATCATAACGTCTTATTAAAAAAGGTTTCGGCTAATGAACTGGCAAACGCTAAATCGGGAAGAGCATCCCCGCCTCACAAGTTTGATCAAACAAGCTATAAACGATACGAAGTTAACTCCTGGGAGTTGGGTAATGGGTATGCTGGATGATACCATACCAGGAGATACAAACAGCTGGAGTTAAATACTGATTTTATGAGATTAAAGGTATTTAGTATCATCGATCGAGAGTCGAGACCCATATAAACTGTTTCAAATGAGCGTGGTCGCTGCAACATCAACATGATACCAGCTCTCACATAAAACGCGTTTCCCCGCTTGATGATGATAACGCTTTAACCGTTGGCGTTAGGGTGGCTCTGAAAGTGCATTACAGTTATAGATAAACAGCTCTTACAACAGCTCCCATATTACAGACTTCGTGGGTGTCTTTCCCTTGTTGACTGTTGAACATTGAGTACAGTTAGTGAACCCAATTAGTTGATTGTAGGTACTATAATATTGCGTTTGGGGGTGAATGGCTCTGTCTGGTTTCTGAAGGTTGCTATTTTAGCTTCAAGTTCAGAGTCTGAACTTTTAGCTCATGTTGGTTCGAGTTCTAAGTTTGTTTAGAATGAGTCTCGTCTCACGATCGCCAGGATTTTCCAGCGTATATTCGAATCAAACGACTGGGTAGTAACTGGGTGCTTTAAGTAACATCACTGCAGTTTTGCGGGGCCGGGCACATCCTATAGTAAAAAGTGGATAACGGCTTGTTGATGATGCTAACTATCAATCGGAAAAATTTGATGAAATTTCATTACCTAAAAAATGCCATCACCAAGAAGGTTTCATAAGTCCAGCTATTAAAAGTAATTATCTTTCGGATTTCATTTTTATTCATTCTCGTTTAATTTAACAAAACCTATTTATACCAGGGCTCGATATTTTTCCCGTTACCAGACGGAACTGGACTTCTGTACAACATGACAGGTTTCAGTGATCAACCCAGACCCATTGCAACACTGCCCATCGACATTCCCGCCAAAACTCAGCACACCGAGGTAATGGAGACGTTATCTTTCAAACTTCGAGGTCAAATATTGACGTCAGTTAAATAACTAACCCATTACACAGTACAGACCTGTCAAAATCACGTCGCAATCACACAAATTCCTCAATTTCTTTAAATCTAGCAAGTTTTCGTTGCTGTCTCCACTCCAAACATAATACCACCCTGGTCATTTTAATGAAACAGATCTGTCAAGCAGCAGTGATATTATTATTAGATTTAACCTGACTATAATCCCCAGACTCTGAGAGTTCACAATTGGCTTCGAGTCCCACAGCGGTTTATCGTGATAAGAGAGATTTTAAAGCCAGACCGTCCTGATCCCGCAACTAACCTCAAAGGTTTTGATTACATTGACGTGCCGGGATTGAGTGAACGAGAGTACAAGCTTCAGTTTGAAGCGTACAAAGAGGGAAATGTCCACTCGAAGGTAAGACTAGTTTGAACGTCACCTAATTAGTAATTTATAGTGCTGCGTTACGGAAAACCCGGAATAAACGGATAAATAAGTATCAGATCAAGGGATAAGATTACTTTATAACTGCATATTTTTTATTTTAAAACCATTTTACTATTTAGTCGTCTAGAACATTATTGGTTTCTGCTGGTAGTCCTAAATTCAATAAGATATCGCTACATAAGATTTACTGTGCTGGAGCAGTGAAATAGCTCCTGGGTTCCATCCCAAATCATGATAGTTATAGGTTAACACTTAACTGCTATAAATGATGGATTATATTAGTAGACGAGCGATTTAATCAAAAGTTAATTTACTTCAGCTTCGAATGGTATCTGTTAGGCATATGGTTACATGGTATCGCACACCTCAAAATGTAGTTTAAAACGTCAGAGACTGAAAGTCCGGTAACCCCTTAAGTATTTAACATGTTCTATTGCCCGTTTAATTTACAAAATGAAGTATGGCTTATATTAAGGTCAAAGAACGTCAAGGTTTGAGTGCAAATGAAATAAGACCAACTTTTAATCATATTCGACCTCTTTAGTGGTGACCACTGCTCGGTTTAAATAACAGCATCTTCTTTAAAGATCTTTTAAATAGAAAAAATTAATCAAATCATATACTAGGGGTTCAGTGGTCATGGTTGGTACAGATGCGAAACTAAAATGTAAAATAATATTTGGAATTAATACTTAACAAAGGGGTGAGGAGCAGTTCCATCCCCCCGTGTACAATCAAGGGATTCAAGGCGGAACCTGTACTGTATTTCATTTACAACTGTTATTAATTTGCAACAAGAAATTTACGTTATTGAAATATCTAACATGTTATGCAATTGCCATCGCGAGCTCTTGAAAGTTTAACTTATGCAACTGATACTTGAGGTATGATTCCTTTAAATATACAGATATTGTAACTTTGTAGTTGAACGCCTCTCCGGTTAGTATCTTGTGCTTGAAATGTTGCCAGCCTTGAAATTCTCAGAAATTGCTCGTTTGTCAGCCAAACATGATTTTCTGTTCATGTTGATCGCTTCCTCAACACGCACATGTCAAATAAAAATCTAGCTGGTTTAAGCAGTGACGTTCGAAACGTACTTTAAGACCAAGTTGACAAATATTTAAAATGATCTGTGTACAAAAGTTGATAAAAATAGTAAAACAGACCGAATTTAAATGCAAAATTTTTTTAAATTTTAAAATGTTTGTAGGGTATTATAGGGTATATATATTATAGGGTATTGCTGCGTTTATAGGATATTGCTGCGCTTGCCGCTTATCTAGAAGAAATTCAAATAATTAAAATTCGACATGATCGAATAACGCAGGACGAGTTTCTATAGAACTGATAAAGCAAGGAACGATAAATCTTGTATCATATTATTATTATCTAGACATAATTTTGATTGCAATTACTGCTGTAGCTGCTCGCAGATTTGATTGGTCGCCGATTCCTTAAGTTAATCCCTGCCAAGCGCGATAAAATGGCAGCTTGTCTAACACCAATGTGATTTAAAACCATTAGAACTTCAGTTTCCGAGCTTCCTGTTTCGGAGGAAATGATTTAGTTGTAGCAACTACCAAATAAGCGTAAAGACGAAAAATCAAAATGTTTTTTATCGAATAAACATTAAATTGCTTCGGGTAAAAGTCTAGTCTGCTTTATCTTAAGGGGGCAGGGGGGGGTCTTTATGAAATTTCTCTCGAAATTGATTTTATAGTTGTTTCTGATAGAGGGGAGTGATATCTACCAGATGTTTTTGGTCCCATGGAAAAATTTTGTTCCTAGCCGAAATTATTGCCGGTCAAAGGTCAGTGCTCATGTGTAATTGTATTGCGCGAGCGATTTTCAATCGCGCGCCCTGAAAATCGAGTCTAAAAATCTATCTTCTCCTACATTTTTTGAGCAATCACCTTGAAACTTTCAGGATATGTTCTAAGGACCATTTAGAAACTTCTGGTCTATCAGAATTTTAAAATAGGCCTTAGAAAAGTTTTTATTCGATTTTGAAAATCTTGGACCTGAAAAAATCGTCAAAAAACGAGGTCCAAGATTTTCAAAATCGAATAAAAACTTTTCTAAGGCCTATTTTAAAATTCTGATAGACCAGAAGTTTCTAAATGGTCCTTAGAACATATCCTAAAAGTTTCAAGGTGATTGCTCAAAAAATGTAGGAGGAGATAGATTTTTAGACTCGATTTTCAGGGCGCGCGATTGAAAATCGCTCGCGCAATACAATTACACATGAGCACTGACCTTTGACCGGCAATAATTTCGGCTAGGAACGAAATTTTTCCATGGGACCAAAAACATCTGGTAGATATCACTCCCCTCTATCAGAAACAACTATAAAATCAATTTCGAGAGAAATTTCATAAAGACCCGTACCCCCCCCTGCCCCCTTAATTATGATAAATTCTCCGTCTTCAAATTATATTGTTTCAAAAATAGCAAAGTACTTTCAAAGATTGCAAAGTAGTTTTGTAAATAGCAGTGCAAGATAATATTACGGATAGAAATGGCTTAAAGGTTCAGAGACTTCATCAGCTTTTTTTTCAGCCTGACTGGAAGTGGACCGGTTCTTTGTAGCATTTTTTCTTGAACACTTAATCAAGAAATTGTTAATGCCCTTTTTGGCTTTTTGGTAGGTGCTTTTTTTCTCAAACGGAAGCCAGGCAAATGGGGATTAAAATCGTCTGAAATTATCGGGCCGAATCAGGATTTTTTAAATTGATGTTTCAGTATATCAATCTGAACCACGTGGCTTCAAGAAAGAAGAGATTTTGATAAGACACTTTTTTACCAAGATATGGAAAATATTATTATTTTAAATCAGTTGATATTAAAAAGAATGGATCGTTGATATTGATAAAGCTCATTGAAATTGTTAGACTCGGTCGACAGCAAGAGAAACTTAAAGCAAATCATCGCTAAGGTTATCAGTTTTTATCCTATACCAATTTGAACGATATTTGACTTGTCAAATCGGGCGCGTATCTCGACGTAACGCCCGACATGACATGACATGTGGTAAAACACCGTGTTTGACGCATGCGTCTCGCAGATAACGTTCAAGAACGAGCAGTCGGGAGAGTTCCAGTTCTACTTTGTGACTTACAAAGTGTCTGCTGCGGGAGTGATCGACACGATCAAACTGACAGCACCAGTTCGTCAGTCAGTGAGCTACACAATACCGCTGTTCAACCCTCTGTCAGTATCCGTTACCCTCAACACCCAGCTTCACAATTCCACAGAGATATCTCTCCTCCCCACTTTCACGGTCCCTGCTAACTCGGAGGGACTCTTCTCTTTCGAATACATGCCACTTAAAGCCGGGAGAAGTGAAGCCAAGATCGTTTTTAACTCCATCGATCTGGGACAATATATCTACGAGGTTTGTAGTTTCAGTTTTATTTTCATCTCTTTGATTTTTAATGGTAACAAAAGTCCAAAGTCAAAATTAGCGTGTGTCCATAAACGCGGGCACACTCTTACAACCATATTTAGCGAATATCATTTCTTTAGAATTTCTAAAGAAACCAACAGGAGATTTCGGTGCATTATTCTTGCGATTTCTTGAATATAGTTTTATGACAAATGGAGTTAAATTGTAGTTGTGAATATGTTAAATATCCAAAACTGGATTTTGCAGGAAATTACAGGGTGGCCCAGAAGTAACTACCCACACGCAACCCTTTAATATCATTAACTCACGTAATTCGTATCAGAATTGCTCAAAAATGTCAGGGAATATAGATATGGGTCTAACTTAGACTTCCTGAAAATGTTGTAAAATTTCATCGATTACAAAGGATGTGGCACGCCACTCCCTCTGTTTGCTTATTGTCACCATAACTTTAGGACGCTTTAAGCTAGGAACTCAAAAATTTCTAGACACATTTAATTTGATAATTGAAGTGCTTTCCCAAAATTCCAAGTTGGTTGTTTCGGTAACCTTCCCCAGGGTTGCCACACCCCAGAGGTAGACAGAGCATCTCAATGCTATCCTCTCGTGGGCTAACTTGGCACAGCCTCTCTTTTTTTTTAAGAAAGAAAAAAGTTGGTTGTTTAAAACCAAGCCGAGTTATGACCATTTCAAGGTCTGGCGGATGCATGATCCCGGCACTTAATCAGTGATCTCTTCGCCCAATCAATGGTGTGATTGGTTGAAACCTGCTTAAAGGACAGCAACTGAAGCGCTATAACGTGAATTTCTTTGATTTTAGGAAAGTCACAATCAGTATTCACTCAAACTGATCAGATTCCTCAACATGCTCGGTACCACCGAATGAAGCTCACTGATTGGGTGACGAAATCACTGATTAAGTGCCGAGATCACGTATCCGCAAGATATGAAAAGGGTCATAACTCGGATAAATTGTAAACAACCAACTTCGAATTTTGGGAAAGCACTTCAATTATCAAACCTGTATTTAAGTTTGCAGACATAACATGTTATTTATGGCATTTATGCCATATTCAATAAGATGAAATCCCCCGGAATTAATGACGCACGAAGTAAAGACAAATTGCTGGGAAATATATGGTAACGATGGTTTAACTATTTAATTTAGAAACACGCTTCATACTACTTGTAGTTGTAACAGTAAATAAATCGTAATGTCTTATAACATAAGAAGCAATAGATGTTAACACAAATTAAACGCCAGGTTGAATTGCTAGCTACTCCAGCGGGACCAGAACGAGCGCTGATCTTTAAAACGGGACTCGGAAACAGTCAGGTGCTTCAAGCTCGTCTCATCAACTACAGCAAGACTAAGGTTGATTATACAAGCAAGACTGATAGCAATGATTTCCATGTGGAGAAGAATACGCAGCCCGCTACAAGCGGTGGAGTGGGTGGCACTGAGGTCACTATCGAGGTTACTTTCGAACCCTCACAACTGGGTGACTCCAAGGGAACCCTCATCGTATCATCAGGTTATTTTTTATGTTGGTATTATATTGACCGTGTTTTTGTTGAACTTTTATAGATCAAAATATTTAGCGAATAAATTTAGTACTAACCCTACAGCCAGGGGTTTTTTGAATGAAAAATAAGTTTTAGGTTGATCCTAAAACCAGGTGTCCAACCTAAAATGTTAGATAAGAGTGAGACAAGATAGGAGTGAGACAAGATAGGAGTGAGACAAGATAAAAGTGAGACAAGATAAGAGTGAGACAAGATAGGAGTGAGACAAGATACAAGTGAGACAAGATAAGAGTGAGACAAGATAAGAGTGAGACTAGATAGGAGTGAGACTAGATAGGAGTGAGACAAGATAAGAGTGAGACAACATGAGAGTGAGACAAGATAAGAGTGAGACAAGATAGGAGTGAGACAAGATAAGAGTGAGACAAGATAAAAGTGAGACAAGATAAGAGTGAGACAAGATAAGAGTGAGACAAGATAAGAGTGAGACAAGATAGGAGTGAGACAAGATAAGAGTGAGACAAGATAAGAGTGAGACAAGATGAGAGTGAGACAAGATAAGAGTGAGACAAGATGAGAGTGAGACAAGATAAGAGTGAGACAAGATAAGAGTGAGACAAGATAAGAGTGAGACAAGATAAGAGTGAGACAAGATAAGAGTGAGACAAGATAAGATTGAGACAAGATAAGAGTGAGACAAGATAAGAGTGAGACAAGATAGGAGTGAGTCTAGATAGGAGTGAGACAAGATAAAAGTGAAACAAGATAAGAGTGAGACAAGATAAGAGTGAGACAAGATAAGAGTGAGAAAAGATAAGAGTGAGACAAGATAAGAGTGAGACAAGATAAGAGTGAGACAAGATAGGAGTGAGACTAGATAGGAGTGAGACAAGATAAGAGTGAGACAAGATGAGAGTGAGACAAGATAAGAGTGAGACAAGATAAGAGTGAGACAAGATAAGAGTGAGACAAGATAAGAGTGAGACAAGATAAGAGTGAGACAAGATAAGAGTGAGACAAGATAAGAGTGAGTCTAGATAGGAGTGAGACAAGATAAAAGTGAAACAAGATAAGAGTGAGACAAGATAAGAGTGAGACAAGATAAGAGTGAGAAAAGATAAGAGTGAGACAAGATAAGAGTGAGACAAGATAAGAGTGAGACAAGATAGGAGTGAGACTAGATAGGAGTGAGACAAGATAAGAGTGAGACAAGATGAGAGTGAGACAAGATAAGAGTGAGACAAGATAAGAGTGAGACAAGATAAAAGTGAGACAAGATAGGAGTGAGACAAGATAAGAGTGAGACAAGATAAGAGTGAGACAAGATAAGAAATAAATGTACTTATTTAATTATAACTCTAAGACCTTCCAGAAAAATGATTTCCCAACAAATAAATTGTTCCTCCAGTCCCCCTACTATAACTAACTTATAAAGCAATACATGACCCCCGTAGAAATTGCAAACTAATCAAAAAGTAAAATTGTCGAATAACGGATTTATTGAATCGGCACTAATGGATAGAGCGTCTTTTTATTAAATCAGAACTTCTGCGCGCAAGATTATTAGAAAGTTTAGAGCGCACTGCATGGAATATCCTTGAGCAATACTAATAGCAAAGTAACAGGCCACCATATAATGAACCACTATTTTATATATCTTAAGTTCGATGTTCGCGACAGTCCACAAGACTTTTAATTTTATATTAAACCTCCTAAACAGAGGTCTTGAGGACTGACGCGTTAAATAACTAGTGCACTGGTTCATGACCATCCATTTAACGCCAACGCAGTTGTGTGTCATCATGCCATCTTACCGTTAATTTCACGTCACAGCAAAACCGCGTCACGGCAAAACCAAGAACGTTCGAACAGTAATTTGCAATTTATTTCACGAGTAAAAGTTTAATACAAATACAATCACATGTAATAACACATTACATTACGAATCGCACATATTAGAAATTAGGGTTCTTTTGCGATAGTCAAAACGCGACAACTAGCGCTGGATGGCGACAACTAGCGCTATCCAGCGCTAGTTGTCGCCATCCAGCGCTAGTTGTCGCTATCCAGCGCTGGATAACGCTGGCCAGCGCAAAATATATATGTTCGATAATTGTCGCTATCCAGCGCTAGTTGTCGCCATCCAGCGCTAGTTGTCGCCATCCAGCGCTAGTTGTCGCTATCCAGCGCTATTTGTCGCTGGCTATGCGACACTGTCGCAGGCGATAGTTTGCGATGGCCAGCGCAACTGGCCATCGCAGAAAACAGTTCGATAACTAGCGCTGGATAGCGACAACTAGCGCTGGATAGCGACAACTAGCGCTGGCCAGCGCTGGCCATCGATATCCAGTGCAAAATTTTTGCGCTATTACCCGTCAGCTAGCGCTGGCCAGCGCTAACCAGCGCTAGCCAGCGCTAACCAGCGCTAGCCAGCGCTAACCAGCGCTAGCCAGCGCTAACCAGCGCTAACCAGCGCTAACCAGCGCTAGCTGACGAGTAATATCGCAACTATATTGCGCTGGCCAGCGCTGGCTGACGAGTAATACTAATATCGAGCGTGCTAAATCACTCTACAGTCGATCTTCGAGATTGTTCTAAAAGGGCCCCCGATGCAGATGGTTGTAAACGTGTAACCAACTTCATTAGTCCTGGAATGCAGCTAGCAGGAGTTGCATTCTGTGGGCACGGCGAGAAGGCCTCCATCTTTATCGTAAGAGGCCAGAAACCGTTGACCAGAACAGAGAGAGAGAGAGAGTAACCAACTTCAATCGATGTATTTATATAATTAATAATTTCTCGTTAGGGTTAGGGTTTCAGCATATGTTTTTGTTAAGGATTGGGTTAGGGTTAGGGTTGAGATCAGATTAGAGGGTTAGGGTTTCGAAAAGTCGTTCAGAACCAGCTAGAGTCAGAGAATGGGTTAAAAAAGTCACGTGACAGTCGAGTGTAAAGTGATTAATCATCATCCGAGTAATATCGCAAGTCTATGATTTTGATACATTGCGCTGGCTAGCGCTGGCTAGCGCTGGCTAGCGCTGGCCAGCGCTAGCTGACGGGTAATAGCGCAAAAATTTTGCGCTGGATATCGATGGCCAGCGCTGGCTATCGCTTAGCGCTGGCCAGCGCTAGTTGTCGCTATCCAGCGCTAGTTGTCGCTATCCAGCGCTAGTTATCGAACTGTTTTCTGCGATGGCCAGTTGCGCTGGCCATCGCAAACTATCGCGTGCGACAGTGTCGCATAGCCAGCGACAAATAGCGCTGGATAGCGACAACTAGCGCTGGATGGCGACAACTAGCGCTGGATGGCGACAACTAACGCTGGATAGCGACAATTATCGAACATATATAATTTGGGCTGGCCAGCGTTATCCAGCGCTGGATGGCGACAACTAGCGCTGGATGGCGACAACTAGCGCTGGATAGCGCTAGTTGTCGCCATCCAGCGCTAGTTGTCGCGTTTTGACTATCGCAAAAGAACCGAAATTAGTATTAGGTGAGCCATTCGTTTAAGGGGGCAGGGGGGGTCTTTATGAAATGTCTCTCGAAATTGATTTTATAGTTGTTTCTGATAGAGGGGAGTGATATCTATCTGCTGCTTTTGATCCCATGGAAAAATATTGTTCCTAGCCGAATTTATTGTCGGTCAAAGGTCAGCGTTCATGTGTAATTGTATTGCGCGAGCGATTTTCAATCACGCGCCCTGAAAATCGAGTCTAAAATTCTATCTTCTCCTACATTTGTTGAGCAATCACCTCGAAACTTTCAGGATATGTTCTAAGGACCATTTAGAAGATTCCATTCGATCAGAATTTTAAGATAGGCCTTAGAAATTTTTTTATTCCATTTTGAAAATCTTGGACCTCGTTTTTGGACGATTTTTCCAGGTCCAAGATTTTCAAAATCGAATGAACAATTTTCTAAGGCCTATCTTAAAATTCTGAGAATCTTCTAAATGGTCCTTAGAACATATCCTGAAAGTTTCGAGGTGATTGCTCAAAAAATGTAGGAGAAGATAGAATTTTAGACTCGATTTTCAGGGCGCGATTGAAAATCGCTCGCGCAATACAATTACACACGAACGCTGACCTTTGACCGGCTTGTATTGCGCGAGCGATTTTCAATCGCGCGCCCTGAAAATCGAATTACACATAAGCGCTGACCTTTGACCGGCAATATTTTTGGCTAGGAACAATATTTTTCTATGGGACCAAAAACAGCTGATAGATATCACTCCCCTCTATCAGAAACAACTATAAAGTCAATTTCGAGGGAATTTTCATAAAGACCCCCCTGCCCCCTTAATTAATAATGATATGTGAATGACCCTTTACTGTGAAAAGTGGTTGTGCAATTAAAATTGACAATTTAAAAGATCGCATTTGAACGAGGAAATCCTGACAAATGTACTAATATAATTATTTTGTCAGGCGGAGGTGGTGAGTACATTTTCCCACTGATCGGTCACTGTCACCAACCCAAACCACAAGGCCCCTTCACCATTAGAGCTGGACAGAGTATCCCAGTACAGTTCAAGAACGTGTTCCCCACCCCTACTACGTTCCTCCTATCCGTGGACAACTCACTGTTCTCCGTGAAGCAGTCCGAGCTGATCAGAGCGAAGAAGACCATTAACATTATGGTCACGTACAATGGCAGTCCGAGGTTAGTTGTTTTTGTGGATCTTGATTGGTCACACAAAGGTCACAAATACTGTAGTTTCGTAAAATGATTCTGGCATCTAAGATCGCAGAAGATTACTCTGCCTGTTGTTCATGTTTATTTCAAGTTAAACAGATAGTGCAACAACTCCATTCAAGGCAATTGCACCTTGCACAACTAAATTCAATTTTAAATCCCGTTCAAATATTCCGCTAAAGTTCTAGTTCTAGTTCGAGCAAAGCTGTTCGTAGAACATCAGAACATGGTAACGCTTTAAATACCGTTAGTACTGCCCCTCATACAGAAGCAATTCTTAGAAAACTTTGACAAGTTTTGACCGTATAATCTTTTAATCGAATCTACTTCCGCGACTAGAAATGTGATTTACAAGTGGTGTGTTTCTATTTTTGAAAGACTGCTTAGAGAACCATGAGATTCTTTTTATAAGGAATTATGTAATAGCAGCAGTTAAAACAGGCTTTAAGGGGGTATACACCAAAACTGCCATCCCAAATGACCTCATAGGAAGTTATGGTATGGAAAGGGTGCGCTAGATGGTTACTGAACTTCCTATGAGGTCATTTGGGATTGATAGACTTAGTGAGTTAGTCACATCTGATATTATTTCCAATGTGTACCTTTACCGGGCACCGGTCGAAAGGTCGGTTGAAAAAGCAAATCCAATCATATAATTATATTATTAAGATTAATATCATAGTCCACGAAATACGGGTCAGCAAGCCTTTTATTAATGTTTGCTTGTTTAGGGACCAGCTTTTGGTACGCTGGTTAATGGCTATTGGTTAATGTTTGCTATAAGTTTAATATTGAAAAATAATTAAATCTGATAAATATAGCTACCCGTGGGACATATAACCAACATATTAAAAATCAAACAAAATTTCGACGTTCATGCAGATCAATCATGAACTATACTGTAGTTCATTATAGTTTATAATTTATTTCTGCCATCCTATTAATATTGAGTGTCAAATGAGCGTTAGTTAGTTCCCCGGCGTGTCAAAAATAATAAATTCCACCTTACAGCTGGGTCAGTATTTTATTATTGATCTTAAATTTCATGAGGTGATCCCTCTGTTATTTATGATAAATCGTATTTCATAATTTTAATAAATATATAAGACACGAGAAACGCCATCTTTCTCTTGGTACGGGATGAGGATATGATATTTCCTTCAATTTAATGGAGTAGAACGTGAGTAATAACAACAATTATATTAAAATTGAGTTCAAAATTGGATTTTAAACTTAATTTTAAATGGCTATTATATACGTGTTAAATGATCATATAAGGTATCAACTATCAGATAGAATAACATAATACAACGTAACCTCATTTAATCGGACCTATGGGAGGAAAGTTAAATCGAACGTCCAGTAAAATATAATTTAAAATCATGCTATATTTTAAAATTTTATGTTTTAGCTTTTTTGAATATACTCAAAAAAATCGATCGCAGTGGGGCTGCAGAGTGCAGCCATTACATATACTAGCAGGAACCCCTTCTAATTCTAAAGTGGTGTCAAGACACAACGACATTTGTTTATTTTGTGATTTTTAAAACACCGGTGGTCCAATTTCCGGAACCTAATTATTTATTTCTCGCCCAATTTTTATTTCTTCATACTATTTAAAAAGTTAAAAGACTCTAAAAGAATTCGACACAGCCAAAAAAAGTTTTAATAAATATCTCTCACGGTTTTTGCGGAAAGTCGCGTTAAAATTGATGTCGTGGTGTCAGTAAAATGGCAATATGTATATATATATATATGTCATTGCTGAACTTCTACACAATAAAAAGCGGTCGCGGTTGTGACTAGATCCTCGTAATTCTTTTAGAGACGGTAGATTATTAAATGTTGCATCTGATCTGAATAAATGATGTGAAACGGATTAGGAATGACGAAATTATCAAGCATTTTGTGTACCTCGTTATCAAAATTGACTGGGTGATTATGTGACACCGTGACACGACACCTTAATTGGGCAGCCTTAACGATTCCCATAATGTTTAATGGGGTGGTTAACGGGGTCACCTTATCACGTGATTAGGTAAGCCAATCACCTGATCACACGTAATGAATAAACTCGTTAGGTATGCTTCGTATCTCGGTCATCTGAGAAGCTACTACTCTAATTTTATCAGGACACACGTAATTCGAATGGCCAAACACAATTCAATAAAATTTAGCTCGATCCGACTATCCAAACTATCAAATAAATGCGAAAATGAACCTTCATTTGAAAAAATGAACACGAATATTTTCCGAGTTGACAAATTCCTCGAACCAGTGGTGGTACTAAGTCATACCAGAAAGAATTATTTTAATTGGGCACTCAGTGACTGAGCTATAAAGGCCAACGTATGGATACAAAGTCATTCACTTCATTGTATAGAAATAACAAATCTTTTCGAAACCCCCTCCCCTTTGGTCGAATGTCAATGATCCCATATTTTGCAATGTTCCAATTGGTTGGGAAGGTTTGTGAAGTCTGCCTAGAATATATGCTTTTTATACGGTTCGGTCTCGTCCTGAACTCGGCACCATATCTCTTCAAATTTAAAAGTACAATTTACCGATCACACCCAAATTGCTGTCGGAAATGTACCACGCATTATATGCCCCCACCCCTACATTCTGATCTTGCCAAACTGTCTCAAGTCTGATTCATTATTAATTTTATGGACAAATTTGCGTTGAATTCTCCGAAATTTGCGCCATAAAGTTAGTACTTGATCTTAAATTAATAATTTTGTCGCCCCGAGAAAGTACCATTTACAATAACCAGCTCGTTAAACTCATTGCACTACTCTCTCACGTAAACTCATACACTACAGCTTAAGACAACTCAACAATTACAGGGTTAAGAACCACTGTGCCTTAGCCTCGCTTCGTTAGTTAGTTAAGTTACCTTCAAGTTTATATGTGCGTCAAGTTATGCCATCGACAGATTACCAAATTGCTTAATTGTCTAGAAGCAAATGGTGGCGACGACTCGACTGTCCAGTGTTCATTTTTGTTCTCTTGATGATGGAAGTTGAACTTGCTAAGAAATTCCTAAAGGATAACTAGCTATGTAGCAGTAATTTGTCACTTTGTGACACCGGCTTAGCAGAGGAAATCATTATGCTGCTTTTATTGCTTCCTGGGGTGCACTGTTTTATTTATCCAAATTTATGGTTATGTAATGTTACTCCTTATACACTGTTATAATTCACTGTGAAATCGCCGTATATGTGTGTGTGGTTCTGCATTCTAACTGTATGGAGTGCGCGAAATAGTGTGGTCAAGCTCCGTCTGGCAAGCCGGGGCTTGAACCACTCTTTAGTCTATAACTATCAGGAGTGCGTGGTTTGAATTTTCCTTTTTTTTAATTGTCTCAAAACGAACTTTCATTTTCAAAGCAGGACTTATAGTCCGTAGCGCGAGTATGATACCGCTAGTATAAATAACTCTATTTTCCATGACAACAATCTAACCTTTTTCTTAAATATATGTGAAATTGAATTATACTACCTGGCAATTTCTTCGTTATGCTCGATCTTGAAAGTGGAAGTTCAAATTTTAATCGTAGGATTACTTCACCTTTTAAGGCATTAAGATGCTTAAAGATATGTAATCATGTATGTAGTCAATCTCAAAATATCAACCGAGTTGAACTGTCGATCTCCATGCTAATGTGAATATAACTTACAAAATACTCATAACTCATAAAGTTCACTATTTCAGTGGTCAAGCGTTACCAGTTCAGACAGGGAAGCTAATTATAACAAATCCAAAGAGCACGTCCGGACAAACAATACACTGGGTGTTTTACCTGAAGGGAGTATCGGAGAAACACTGAGTTTCTGGTTACTAGTGGTTACTATTAGTTACTATGACTACTAGGAGAAACACTGAGTGTTTCACCTTGAGTCTTGGCGATTGTTACATTTACAACACAGACATTTCACTCGGGTTCTCAACCCAACTCGGTATTTCACTTTCAGTACAGACATATTTCCATAGCTCATTGACTTTCAGAAATTGGTGTTAGCATATTCTCAAGTTTTCTGTTTTCCATATTTGTAAAAGATCGTTCTCCGATCGTGAACAATGTACAGTATTTGTAGAATAGTATTTTCTAAGTTAATGTAATTTTCTGCGCTACATATAATTTGAATAGTCTGGCTTTTATTACGAAGTAAGATGAGAAAGAAGTATTTAAATGTCGTGAAGGGCGAATCATGCACCTTTTGACGTTTACACTCTTCTTTGGGAAACAAAACCCAGGAATTCACCTCTCGATATCCCTGGGTTTCATTCCTATCATTGTGAAACTCATCTCAAGTAATCCCTTCTTTTTATCTAATTTATGCGTTGTTTTTATTGAGGGTAACGCTGGACTGATTTTGATTGTATGTGGAGTTATAGTTATAAATTTTATCGGTAAAAATGAGTTTGTTTCCTTTTTATCATTGAAATTTGAATACCTTGAATTGATAATACAGTACACCACAGCTCAGTAGTCCACATGTACAATCTCCAGGAAATCCTGGGATTCTGGAATCCCGATGTCGGGATTGACTTCACTAGTGCACTACTTTGCCTGGGGTCATAATATTTTGAAGAGATTTTAGAGGCTTATCGCCGTATAATGTGTCGAGCGTGCTAAATCACTTGACACTTGAACTTCGAGACTTTTCTAGAAGGGCCCCAGTTTAAAACCAACTTGAATCGACGTATTTTTGAACGCTGATTCCCAATCACCCCACATGACATTAGGGTTGATTAAAATGCTCCCCTGTACCCTGTTCAGTTATCAGTGATAACTGTTGCGATCACGTGACATGACCATAATACAAGGAATTTGTAGCATATTTGCTTCAGTACTTAGGGATTGGGTTAGGTTTGGGTCAGATTAGAGGGTTATTGTTTTTAATAGTCCATGAAGGTCATCTAAAAAGAGTGTAAAATAAAAGTCACGTGATACTGTCACTGAAACTGAAACTGATAGTGGAGTGTAGAGTGACATGATTAATCATCATCCGAGTTGCTTCACAACTCATCGACGATGTTATGCTTCAAATGAATATTGTACGGATATCACCTGCAAAACGTCAGAACAGATTTAAGCACGACAAAAAGTGAACCCCTTAGCTTTATATGATAATCAATGACGCGGTCTCCCTGCATGTATGATGTACAACGCAGATTATTTACACTAAATCTGTCATCGGCATCCTAATGCTAATACATATATATTTTAAAAGCAATAACTAATTGAACAAAAAACAACCATGAATCAAGTGTCAAGGCTTGATTCATGTGCACAGTGAAAAAAATTTTTGTCCCGGCTGGCGTGATAAAAGAAACACGGTACAAAGTTGGGAAATCTCTGACAGTGACTGATCTCGCAAACAAAGCGTGATATACACATAATCTCAGATTTGAGACTGGTGGAGAGGTGACGCATTTTTTTCTGACACATGATTTACGATTTTGATAGATTTCGGCTGCGCATGGTTTGTTAATCGCCGTAATTCGAAGTTTTGTGACATCTCCCCGCCAGTTTAAAAAATATGGTTTGACTAATTAATTGGGAAACATTATAATATTTATATCAAATATTGGGAATGAACATTTACATATGAACATCCTCACCTCAAACATTAAACCAAACGAGCTATACTTTTTACTTATAATTGTAAATGATACCAAGTTAAATCCTGGGAGTTGGGAGTGCTTTTACCTGGCTCGCCAATCCCTGTGCGTGTCGCTCTTTTCAAGCTTCCTGAGAGAAACGAGCAATAGACTAGCAAGCTAGGAGTAGGAGTAAGACTAAGTAATAAGTATGCTTTCACCCGTGGGTCAGTCAGTTAAACTTATAAACCAACAAAGTATGCTAAATCATACCATCAACCATACCATACCATACCATATAATACCATAATAATACTACTACTACTAGTACTTTGCTAGATGAAAGCAGCTACTGCTAGCGTTAAATATCGATTTTACGAAATCAAACATTAACAATTAAAGCATAAAGGTACTTAACATCATCGAAAGTCGAGACCAATATAAACTGTTTGAAATGAGCGTAGTCGCTGCTAGTGTTACATCAACGTAATCAATGATAATGATATGATCGCTCTGATGATCATAAACCCAGGATGCACTACATGAAGAATTCGTTGTAACTTTGTATGAAAAGCATTTATACAACATATCAAGCGCGTTTCCCTGCTTGATGATGATAACGCTTTAACCGTTATGGCGTTATATTAGGGTGGCTCTGAAAGTGTATTACAGTTATAGATAAACAGAGGTAGCTCTAACAACGAGCGTGCTAAATCACTCTACAGTCGATCTTCGAGATTGTTCTAAAAGGGCCCCGACCGTTAAAACCAACTTCAATCGATGTATTTTCGAACGCTGATTCCGAATCAACCCCCATGACATAGGGTTAAATTTAAAATGCTCCCCTGACGAGATATTGGCGAAAAACTGTCTCGATCACGTGATATCACAGTGCTGGCAAGCACGACCGTTGCATTTATTGTGGGTATACTATGTACCCCATTTACTATTATACCCCCTTTACTATTATACCCCCTTTACTATTATACCCCCTTTGGTACACATTACAAGCCTCCGGCAGGAGTTTTTCAGGCATTAAGACTCATCGGAAGTCGTTCAGCAGATTTATTTTTAGTTCAAAACATTCTAATTTGATGTCAAAGATGACAGGAATAAAAAATAGTTATGTTGAGATTTTTAAGAAATTTGCATAAAATACTCGCCAGCACTGTTATACGAAATTCGGTAAAAAACCCAAAATCGCCATATTCAGGTGCCTTAAAAACCATGTTAAAATTGAGTTAGAGATCTGAAATTTTTCAGGGCGTCTAGACGTTGACCAAATCGACTGCAAAAAAAGTTTCAGGTTTCAGGATTATCGGGAAATGGGTTTTCTAGAACCCCTGTTTTACGATAGATTGTCGGGACATATACAGATATACATATACAGGGTGGCCCAAAAGTGACTACCAGTACCCACACGCAACCTCTTAATAACTCGCGTAATTCGTCTCCAAATTGCACCAAAATTTCAGAGATTATAGATATGGGTCAAACTTAGATTTCCTGAAAGTTTCGTAAGCCACGCCAATTACAGTGGGCGTGGCGTGACACTCCCTCTTTTTCACTATTGTCTTCATAAAATGATAACGCTTTAAGCTAAGAATTCAAAAATTTTTGCAGACATTTGGCTTGATAATTTAAAACATTTCCCAAAGTTTCAAGTTCATTGTCTAAAATTTGGCTGAGTTATGACCATTTCAAAATCCATCGGATACGTGATCCGAGCACTCAGTCAGTGATCTTTGCACTCAATCAGTGATCTCGTTACCCAATCTGATCAAGAGTAAGGCGTTAGCGTGTATTAATGAGGTTCATTAGGCTTTACCAAACATACTGAGATGACTATTTGATCATGATTGATTGGATACCGATAAAGATGTTTTCTTCGGTCCTCGCAGTTCGTCTACTGCCGGCTCTTCGCCGACCGTGTGCAGAAAAAGTGAACTTAATTTTGTGATGCATATCAAAGCAGCTTTTCCGGCAAGGGGATGGTCGGTTGAATTTCATCTGAAATTGTCGTTTAATCTGAGGGTAGAACTCCCCAATCCCCATTCTCTTTCTTCAGGTAGACGAACAATCGTTGTTCCGCAGTATAGGGAGAATAGTGAACCATTTTCGATGATTCAATGGATGGTTCATTCCTTTTTATTGATTGTAAGAAACGAACCTGTGATTAGCAGGGCTAACAAGCCCTAAAACGGTGACACCACCATTAATTCGTGTTATAGCGTTTTAGGTGCTGTCAGCTGTATAGGCCGGCCCATAAGCAGGCTGCAAACAATCAAGCGGTGCATCTGAGCCAAACAGGCCGTTAACCAAGTGACGAGATCACTGACTGAGTGCTCGGATCACGTATCCGATGGATTTTGAAATGGTCATAACTCAGCCAAATTTTAAACAATGAACTTGAAACTTCGGGAAAGGTTTTAAATTATCAAGCCAAATGTCTGCAAAAATTTTTGAGTTCTTAGCTTAAAGCGTTATCATTTTATGAAGACAATAGTGAAAAAGAGGGAGTGTCACGCCACGCCCACTGTAATTGGGCGTGGCTTACGAAACTTTCAGGAAATCTAAGTTTGACCCATATCTATAATCTCTGAAATTTTGGTGCAATTTGGAGACGAATTACGTGAGTTATTAAGAGGTTGCGTGTGGGTAGCCACTTTTGGGCCACCCTGTATATTCAGGGATAGACGCTTTGCCAGTAAATTAAAGCCTGTATTTAAGTGTCCATAGATTCAAAAGTATAAAAGATATAGCCATTTCCGACCACAGGTCTTGTAAATAATTATTTACTCTTTAGTTTACATTGTATAAAAAAATTATTTGACGTCATGAACACCCCTTGATGACGTCATCAAGTTCCCAGAAAAGCTTACCGGCTGGCCGTGGTACTAGAGGTGGTTGTTTTTCGATGGCACGTGTGTCAGCGCGCGTGACGTAACGTTCACTGCATCAGCATGATCGCTCGCGTGAATTGCAATCTGGAGTCATGACAACGACATTACTTCGCAAAGTTTAAAAGCTGCGATCTTTTATTTAGCCCAAAATCAAACTTTTCGCGATAATTCAAAATCTACATTGTTTTGAATTTGGCTCCTGGGGAGCCTACTTTAGTTTTACGAGACGGACATTTTGTTGAAAACCTTACGTTTCTATCTCTTTTACTTCCGAAGTTAGGCCCCTAACGGTAAGGTTTCCTGGGCCCAGTTGACACGTAGCAAGGTATTTTCGTTCAAGACTGTAAAGAATCACAAAAGTAGCCGTATAATTCCTCCAAACTTAGATGACTTAGATGAACTGTGAACTAAAGTAAGCCGTTAAAATACAGCTTACACTTTTTACCTTATGATTGGGTCGTTGTTCTAAACAAAATTTGTCAAGAAGTGTGGCCCTCACCGGTCACTTAATGTCACTTAAGAGCTCAATTAAAGCGACCATGGTCTGACGACTGGCTGCAACAGGTGCATATAATCTGTTACACGAGATATCCTTGTGTTTGGCTTGTACTAGCTGTAATTGGGTATTTCGTCACAAGTCATGCGACTTGATACATATACAGTTGACACGTAGCAAGGTATTTTCGTTCAAGACTGTAAAGAATCACAAAAGTAGCCGTATAATTCCTCCAAACTTAGATGACTTAGATGAACTGTGAACTAAAGTAAGCCGTTAAAATACAGCTTACACTTTTTACCTTATGATTGGGTCGTTGTTCTAAACAAAATTTGTCAAGAAGTGTGGCCCTCACCGGTCACTTAATGTCACTTAAGAGCTCAATTAAAGCGACCATGGTCTGACGACTGGCTGCAACAGGTGCATATAATCTGT